GATCTCTGTGAGTTCAAGGCCAGCCTGTTCTACATAGCAAGTTCCAGGTCATCTGGGGCTACAGAAAGACCCAGTCTCAAAAAAAAAATTGTAAAATAAAAAGTAAAGTAAAGTAAAAAGTAAAGTAAAATAAAATAAAATAAAATAAAAAACAGCAGACATAAGCTCAATTCAAAGATCTTGAGTCTATAAACTGGGAGCTGAATGCATCACCTGTTTTGATAATGAAAGCCTTATGATCTTTGGGGGGAACTACAAAGAATGTCCATTTTAAGTGGACGTTCTTAAAATGCATACTTGAAAGTTGGGTGTGGTTGTACACACCTTTAATCCCAGCACTCAGGAGGCAGAGGCAGGCAGATCTCTGTGAGATCAAGGTCTGCCTGGTCTACATAGTAAGTTTCAGGCCAGCTGTGGCTACAGTTATTTTTATTTATTTTATGTGTATGAGTGTATTGCCTGCATGTATGTGAGTGCACTCGTGTCTTGCAATGCCACAGAGGTCAGAAGAGGGCTTCAGATTCCCCTGGAACTGGAGTTAAGGATGGTTCATAGCCACCATGTGGGTATTGGGAATTGAACCCGGGTTCTCTACAAGAGCAGTCAGTGCTCTTAACCGCTGAGCCATCTCTCCAGCCCCATAGTATTGGTTTTTGAGATAGGGAGACAGTCTCCCTGCAACCCCATCTGGCCTAGAACTCATTATGCTCCAGGCTAGCCTTGAACTCACAGAGCTATGCCTGCCTCTGCCTCCCAATTGCTGGGATTAAAGGTCTGCGCCACCACACCTGGCCTTATATTTATTTTTTTGAGACTCATGTAGCCTAGGCTGGTCTCAAACTCCCTCAATAGCAAGTCTAGCCTTGACCTCCCCATCCTCCTGCCTCCACTTCCCAAGTTCTGAATCTAAGCTGGTCCTTGTCATCTGGGCTAGGCAGCCTAAGGTCAGTTCCCACTGGAACTATGGGGACACCCCACCGTCTGCCACCTGTGACTGTCAACTCCCAGCACCCTGTCCTTGTTCTTGGTTCCCCTCTGCAAAGACGCCATCCCTCAGGGCTGTCTGGCCATAGCCTTACACAGTCTGTCATGGAATTCCCTACATGTCTGTCCTAACTGGCCAAGCACGAACCTCAGTTTACCAGAGAGATGGCACTGGGTGCTGGTGAGGCAGAGCTGGGCCAGGCCAGGCTCACTCAGCCGACTTCCTGGTTCCTGCCTGGTTCTAAGCCAGTCAGGGGTGGTGGCCCTCTGTTGCTGTGGGGCCTTTCCGAGGCCATTTCTAGAGGGAGGGAGGCCTGGGTTGTAAAGGGCCTCTGGGGCCTCCCAGTCTCTGTGTGACTGATACTAGTTCCAGGCTGGGACTTCCACAAGTCCAAGGCTGAGTCTCACTGCATTGGAGAGGGACCAATCCCTCAAGGCCAGGTCAAACAGACCAAGTTCACTTGTGGGCTTTCTCTTTTTTTTTTTCCTTCTTCTTTTCAGGAGAGGAGTTATTTTGAGACAGGGTGTTGTTAAGTTGCCCAAGCTGACCCTGAATTCACTATGTAGCCCAGGTTGACCCTGCTCTAGCTTGGGCTCACAGGCCTGTGCCACCACTCCAGGTACCTGTGCATCTTTCTGCTTGTCTACTGGACCCCTACAGGATTGTTCTAGAAACAGGTGGCAGAAGGACTCAGTCTCTTCTCAAAATTGTTGTCTCAGAAAGTGGGAAAAACATTCTTTTTTTCTTTCTTTTTTGAGACAGGGTTTCCCTGTCCCTCAGGCTGTCCTGGTACTCGCTATGTAGCCCAGGCTGGCCTTGCTCTCACAGAGATTTAAAGGTGTGCCACTACCCAGCTGAGGATTCTTTTAAGGAGAAGCAATTATTTAGAAACTTCCTGGATGGGCAATGACCTTGTTAAAAGTTAACTGCTTTCGGTCAAAAACAAACACATTTTCCATCAAAGAGGGGTCCCAGCGGCAGGAGGCCAAGCAAGGCCCCTATCACCCACTTAACCCCAAAGTCCCGGTCACCTTTTCTGGGCTCCTCTCTCTGATCCTCTTAGTGGGCTTCCAACAGCTTCTTAAAACTGGACACCAGCACCTCTTGGTTCTCTTGGTCTGTATGTGATGAGGTATGGGAGACCCTTAGAAACTTCTAGGGTCTAACAACAGCCACACGTTCCTTTTTTCTTTTCTTTCTGAAAACAAAACAAGAAAACAGAGTTCCTCTAAGCAACCAATTATCATGACCCCTCCCAGGCTGAGGCGGGGAGCTCCTAAGCCCAGGGTCACCCACTTCCTTCCACAAGTTTCCACATCCTGCCATAGCTGTGGGGAACAGGGCTCAAGCTCACAGACTGAGTCTATGTGCTTGCTCAGTGTGTATACTTGCTCAGTGTGTGCACTGGCCTCTGGCTTGGCAGGACCAATCCCTATGACTGCAAGATCTTGCTGAAAGCCCTGGGCCTAGGTACAAAGGCAATGTCTTAGCGCCACCTTCACATAGGAAGGTTCACCACAGGGCAGGAACACGGCTCAGCAGAAAGTACCTCTGTAACCAGGTTCATATTCAGCAACCTAATTAAAACAGTACAAAATACCAAGTGTGGTGGCACAGGCCTTTGATCCAGAACTCTGGCAACAGGCAGAGTTCCAGGTCACCATCATCTACACAGTAAGTTCCAAAACAGTCAGGACTACATTGAGAGTCTCTATATCAAGTTGTCACCCACCCCAAAAAGAGATCTTGAAATAACCAAAACCCCAAAGATGGCTGGGGGCTTGGATCAAAGGTAGAATCTTGCCTAGAATCCCTCAGTGAGAGTGTGGGGGCATGAATGGTAGAATGACAGCCTAGACTCCCCCAGTGATGGGCTAGAGGTATGGCTCAGGGGTAGAGTGACAGCCTAGAACCCCCCAGTGAGGAACTGGAGGTATGGCTCAAGGGTAGAGTGACAGCCTAGAATCCCCAGTGAGGGGCTGGGGCTCAGGGATAAATGCTTTACTGGCAAGTGGCAGGTCATGGGTTCCATACCGCAATCCCACTCCAAACAAACAAACAAACAAACAAAAAGTCTTATGAGAGAGAGCCTTGAGCTAGTAGCAGTTAAAGAAGAGTTCAAGTTCAAGCTCACCAGAAAAAAGTTGAGGTCAGTTCCAGCCAGCCTGTTCTAGGTGCAAAATAAGCAGATGGCACTTGTAGTTCAAGGCCAGCCTGGTCTACATAGTGAGTTCCAGAACAGCTGGGGCTACAGGAAAAAAAAAAAAAAAAAAAAAAAAAAAAAAGAAAAGAAAAGAAAAGGAAACAGGAGGAGTCAGAGTCAGGGGTAGGCTGGTCCCCAGCAGAGGAAATACATCCTCCAAGGGATTCAGCTGCCTGACAGACAGCTTTCTGCCCAGAATCCGCCTGATGTAAGTTTTGCCTTTTCTGGTTAAGACATCTGAAACCAGAAATTCCTGGAAAACCCGATCCTTGTCCAACAGCTGGGGAATTCCCTCTAACTTCCCGAAGTGAAACCCCACTCTCTGAGGGGAGGGGATTTCCACAGCCTAGCCAAGGGATTTCCACAGGGCACTGGCTGTAGAGATGACCCACAGGGGACTTTTGAGAGTATGGGGTCTTGCAGGACTTTATACATGACCTGGAAGGGGCTGTCCCACTTGGTGAAAATCACAAAAGCACACACATTCCGGAAATAAAATAGGATTTTATTCTGTTTCGGTTTTTTGAGACAGGGTCTGGTATAGCCCAGTGGGCTTGAACCTGATGTTTAAAGCTGGCCTTGAACTTTTCCTGCCTCCATACCTCAAGGGCTAGGATGACATGCTTCTGTCACCATGCCTGGCTTTTGAAAGAGCATTCTGGAAGTCTCCTGAAAGATCAATAACAGGGTCTCCTGGGTTCCAGCTCAGAGCTGGGGAGGGGGAAGGCAAGGACTGGCTAGATGGCTCAGTAGGGTAAAAGCACTTGCTGCCAAGCCTCAGTACTTGAGTTCAATGCCCAAGAAACACATGGTGAAAGAGAGAACTCATACTTGAACGCTTATTGCTATGGTAAAGGAGAAAGAGATATGCAGAGAATTCAGGGTGTCACAGTACTGAGAGCCCTGCTCCAACAGCAGGGTTAGCAGCAGATGCAAGAGACTATTAAAATGAAATAAATTATGGCCCTGTTTGGTGGCCCAGGCCTTTAATACCAGCACTTGGGAGGCGAAGGCAGAGGCAGGCGGATCTCTGTATTTCCAGGCCAAGCAGAGCTACATAGGGAGACCTTGCCTCAGAAGTGAAAAAAAAATTTTTCTTTGATCATTTTGAGACAGAGTCTCCCTTTAGCACCAGCTGGTCTGGAACTGGCTATGTAGATCAGGCTGGCCTAACTCACAGAGATCTGCCTGCCTTTGCCTCCTGAATGCTGGGATTGAAAAAAACATTAAGATAAAAATGAATAAATAACAAGCTCAGGAAAGGCCAGATGGCTCAGCAGGTAGAGGTCCTTGCTGTGCAGGCCTGCTGACCTGAGTTAATCTGTGGGACCCACATAAAGGTAGAAGGTGAGAACTGACTCCCAAAAGTTGTTTTCTGACTTCCATGCACACATTCTATGACACAAGTACTCATACACACACACACACACACACACACACAGAGTAATAATGAATAAAATATAAACGTTAAATAAAAAATAAGGAAAAACAGGGATGGGATGCAGCACCAAAAAAAATAAACACATAAACATACAATAACCAAAACAAAAAAATCTTAAAAAGACAGCAAGCAATAATTCATCTACTACTGCACACAAATCTTGCTCCTTTCAGTTCACTGAATTTAAGAAAAAACTAGGATCAGGCTGGAGAGATGCTCAGCAGTTAAGAGCACTGCCCAGTCTTGCAGAAGGCCCGGGGTTGAATCCCAGTACCACACAGCGACTAACAACTATCCTTAACTCCAGTTTTAGGGAATCCAACGCCCTCTTCTGGCCATCTCAGATGCTGCATGACCCGAGTGCACTCACATACATGCAGGCAATACACTCTACACATAAAATAAAAAATATAAGCTGGGCGTGGTGGCGCATGCCTTTAATCCCAGCACTCAGGAGGCAGAGGCAGGTGGATCTCTGTGAGTTCAAGGCCAGCCTGGTCTACATAGTGAGTTCCAGGACAGCTGGGGCTACAGGGAGACCCTGTCTCAAAAAGACAAAAAACAAAAAAAAAAGAAATATATATATGTTAAAAAATATTTTATTTTATGTGTATGAGTGTATTGCCTGCATGTATGTGAGTGCACCTGTGTCGTGCAATGCTGCGGAGGTCAGAAGAGGGCTTCGGACTCCCCTGGAACTGGAGTTAAGGATGGTTTGTATCCGCCATGTGGGTGCTGGGAATTGAACCCGGGTCCTCTGCAAGAGCAGTCAGTGCTCTTAACCACTGAGCCATCTCTCCAGCCCCAAATAATACATTTTTAAAAAGAAAGAACTAGAACTGCTGGGAATAGTGGTGCATACCTGTCATTCTCAGCACTGGGAAGGTAGAAGTGGCAGGAACAGGAGTTCAAGTCCAGTTTGGGTTATATATAAGTTCCTGTCTCAATCCACACCCAAATACACACAAGAAACAAAGGAAACATTCAGGGCCTATGAGATGGCTTAGCAGGTAAAGGAGCTTGCTGCCAAGGCTGATGACCTGAGTTCAAAGCCAGAGTAGGAGAGATCCGACTCCCGCCAGTTGTTCTCTGACCTTCCACATGCACCCTCACACACTAATAAACAAATGTGATAAAATAAAACAGCAAATCCTATGAAAGAAGGGATTTACCACACACCTGCTGTTAGAATAAATGGTATGGAAGATTCTAGAACTATATGAAAGCCAATTACATAGTTCCAAATTTTCTAGTAGCCTCATGAAGAAAAGAAAAAGATGAAATGAACAAAAATATTCAGATGCTCTTTGATTTACAATGTGATTCCATCCCAATAAGCCCATTATAAGTTGAATATATCCAGGTCTGTAATTCCTGAGATAGGAGATTGTAAACTTCGAGGCTGGCTTGGGCTACAGAGGGTATGACAAGTCAGCTAGGGGCTTATCTGACAACATAAATAAAAGTTAAACACCAGTATGGTGGTACATACCTTTAGTCCCAGCAGATGGATCTCTGTGACTAAGGCCACCCTGGAGTACATCAGCTACATCTCAAAATAAAGTAAAATAAAAAATTTAAAAGGAACCTACCCTAGTGAGAGGCATAGAATACATGGAACCAGAAATACCCCAGCAGTGCCACACAGCACCCTGAAGGGTCTCAGTGGTCACAGTGTGACAGGACAGATGACTGGATGCCCCTGCCCAACAACAAAGAAGAAAATCATATGCCACGGACCTGAGACATGAAATTCAGCCTATATGGTTTTATCATTTCACACTGTTGTAGCATCAAAATATAACCCTAATTTGGGCTCTGGTCACCTTTGTTCTTTTTTTTTTTTCAGTGTTAGGAATGAATTGAGGCCCTCGTGTGTGCTAGAGAAATGTGCTACCTGAGCCACACCCCCTCCTGTCACTGGGGGATTCTAGGCTGTCACTCTACCCTGAGCCACGCCCCAGCCCCTCACTGGGATTCTAGGCTGTCACTCTACTCTGGAGCCAGGCTACCAGCCCCTTTTTCTTTTGTGACAGGTCTAAGTTGTCCAAGCTGTCCTTGAACTCACTGCGATTGTTATGGCTGGAGGTGGGGAAGAGACAGACAACAGGCAGCCTCAGGGTGGGGGATGAGAACATGCTGGACTGTCACACCTTCTTCCCACTCTATAATCAGTAGACCTGTTCAATGAAATTTAATAACACAGCCCAGACAGGAGGAGTTGAGATTCTAGTTTCCAGAAATTCTCAGAGCTGTGCCACTGAGCTAATCTGCTCACACCTATGTCAGGGGTCATGCCCTCTTCGGCCTCCCAGTGTCCCCTGAATCTCCAGTACTTCCAACAAATAAGCACTGGGTCTCCCATACTGAAGGAAGTATTGACTTAAAATTTTTTATTTATGCCAGATGTAGGGGCACACACCTTTAGTCACTCAGGAGGCAGAGACAGGTGGATCTCTGTGAGTTCAAGGCCAGCCTGGTCTACGTAGCCAGCTCCATGCCAGCTGAGGCTACAGGGAGACCCCATTTCAAAAAGAAAATTTTTATTTATTTAATTTCATGTGTATGAGTGTATTGCCTGCATGTACATAAGTGCAGCTGTGTCATGTCTATTACTTTTTTTTTTGGTCTTTTTGAAACAGAGTTTTTCTGTTGTCCTAGTTGGCGTGGAGCTCTGTAGACCAGGCTGGCCTTGAACTCACAGAGATCTGCCTGCCTCTGCCTCCCAAGTGCTGGGACAACAGGTGTGCACCACCACGCCCAGCCTAAAATTTTATTTTTTATTTTCATTTTATGTGTATATGTGTACTGTCTGCATGTATTTAAGTGCCCCCATGTTATGCAATGCCCTTGGAGTTCAGAAGAGAGCATCTGGAACTGAAGTTAGGGATGGTTATTAGCCACCATGTAGATAGATTCTGGGGCTTGAACCCAGGTCCTCTGCAAGAGCAGCCAGTACTCTTAACCACTGAGCCATCTCTCCAGTCCTGTGAGTGACTTTTACAATATGGACATAACTTGAACTAATGACTTATTTTACCTTGTAATCTAAAAGTTACTGTTATAAAGTAAACAAATTCACTGAGCCATCTGCTCCTCTCATGACCTGAGCACTGACCTTAACCCCTCAGAACCCCACTTTGCCCTCCACCCAACAAAGTGAATGAGTGTGGGTGTGTTTGATCAACACAGCAAAGCTCTGGAAGAAGGTGTTATTCATTCTGCAAACATTGAGAAGAATTGAGAAGTCTGCTGGAAATTGTCAAATAGTCTTGACCAAGGATGAAAGGGCAAGATTCCCTGATGAGGGTGGATCCTAGCTTCTACTTCTGCAATTCATGTTGGAGACAGGGTTGGAATAAAAGAATGGCTGAAGCCTGGTGGAGAGCAGTTCCTGAGACATCTGCAACAGCAGGTGCTGAGTTCTGGCCCACTCTTGGCCTTAAAACTACAGCTAAGTGTCAGGCTATAGCTGTCAAGTGGCTTAGAAAAGCAGCATTTACTGTCAGCAGTTTGGGTCAGGGGGCTGAAGCCTTCCCGGATGCCTAGAAATGGGGTTCCCATGAGCTGGAGAGCTGGCTCAGAGGGTAAGAGCACTGGCTACTCTTTCAGAGCATCTGGGTTTGGTTCCCAGCACCGACATGGCAGCTAACAGTCTGTAACTTTACAGAGGCTCTGACCCCTCTTCTGGACTCCTTGGGTATTGCACACGTGATACACATATGTGCAGGAAACACACACACACACACACACACACACACACAAATATGTAAATCCAATTAAAAAAAAGAATAAAAACTTTGTACCAAAGCTACCATTCTGTGATCCTGTTTTCCAATCATAGGTCTGCCCCATTCAATGATGTGGTTTTGGAGGTGAGTGGATAGAACCCAGGGCCTTGTTCACACTAGGAAAACCCTTCACCTCTGAGCTAGAATCCTAGACTGTCAATGAGTTTTTGTAAGAAACCTGGGCATTTAAAATAAATCCAAGAATTCTGCCTGGTGTCACACCCCTGTCACCCCACCACTAGAGCTGGAAACAGAAGGATCATGGGCTAGCCTCTACTACTTGAGATGGTCTCAAATATTTAAATGGGGCAATGGTTCCTGCTGCCCACTTTTGCCCTCCAGGATGTTGGGGTCCTGGCCACCTACATTTTGTTCTCCTGACAGGTCAGGGTCTCCACCTCCCATTTATGTCCCCCTGGTAGGTCCGGGCCCCGCTGCCCACTTTTGTTCCCTGATGGATCAGTGTCCCCATCACTTTCGTCGTCTGAGGGATGGGGTGTCCACAGCCTGCTTTCATTCTGGAGGATTTACGACCACAGCTGCCCACTTTTGTGCTCTGAGGGATCCATGTTCCGCTGCCCGCCATCGCGCTCCGCCCCGAGGACCCACCTAGTAGCCACGGTCCGACTGCCTCCGTCTGGCTGCCACACGGCTTCCCGGTCTTGGGCCGCGCCCGCACAGAGACACGCCCGCGGAGGGACATGCCACCGCCCAGCTCTGGCCCCGCCCACTGCCGGACCTACTTCCTTAAAGGGCCCGGGCCTGTACGGGGGTCTGATTTGGAGCCTAGCCGCGCGGGCGTCACCTAGCAACTGCGCCTGGCGCCGGGGCCATTGGCTGACCCGGGTATTTCAAAGGTGTGGGTGGAGCTTCTGTCGTGGTTGGGGCGCGGGGCGGAGCCTCAGGCAGCTACGGCTTGCGAAGAGAAACTGGCGCCAATTTTCAACGCATGCGTGAGAGAAATACTGTAGGTGGGGTGGAGCCAATACGGGCTGGAGCATTGCCTACGAGTGACGCCTTGTGGGCGGAATCTAGACGTAGAGCAGGCACCAGTTCGCCATTGTGACCCGGGGCGGGCCTGTACGGGGGCGGGCCTGTACGGGGGCGGGGCCAGGTCTGAGGGAGGAGCCAGCGGTGGGATGACGGTCGGGCCTGGGGGCGGAGCCAGCCTTGTGACTAGGCCAGATCTGGGGCAGGGGCAGGCCTGAGGGCGGAGCCCAACGTGGGGCTGGGCGAAGCCTTGGGTGAGGTCCGGCCTGGGAGCTGGGCCAATCCCTGTGGCCGGCGTGGGGCGGGGGGGCCCTGGCGCGGCCCAGGTCCCCACGGCACGCCGTTGGTTGGCGCATCTGAAGGGGCGTGGCGCGGGCGGCACCGTCCGTTAGTGCAGGGCCGGAGGGCGTGGCCCTGGCGGCGCCGATGGGTAGTCGCGGCCGGCGGGGCGGGGCCCTGGGCCTGCTGCTGTACCTGGGCTTGACGGCGGAGCTGGCCGGCGGCTGCCTGCACTGCGACCCCAATTTCTCGGAGAAGTTCTGCTACTATCGGCACCACGTGAACCTCAAGTCCTGGTGGGTGGGTGACATCCCGGTGTCGGGGATGCTGCTCACCGAGTGGAGCCAGAACACGATGAAAGAGCTGCACCTGGCCATACCCGCCGAGATCAGTGAGCAGCCGAGACCATCCCTGGGCCAGGCAGAAGACCACGGCAGGGGACTCCTGGGCTGGATCGCTCACCTGTTTCCTCTTCCCGCTCTCAGCCCGGGAGAAGCTGGATCAAGTGGCAGGAGCGGTGTACCAGAGAATGGACCAGCTGTACCAGGGGAAAATATACTTCCCAGGTAACAGGCGGGAAACTGAGGCAGAACCAGTGCTGGGCACCCTCCACCCAGGCCTAATGTCTCTGCTGTGCTTCCCCCACATCAGGGTACTTCCCCAATGAGCTGCGAGCCATCTTCCGGGAGCAGGTGCGCCTCATCCAGAACGCCATTATAGAGAGTGAGCAGTGGGCTCCATGGAGGGGACAGTGCCCAAGGCTCCAGGTGCTCCTGAGCTGAGAAGTGCTGGGAAACAAGACCGGGGTACAGCTTTCCAGGAGAGTCCCTTTTCATGAACAGTCACCAGCACATCATCATCCCCTGAAATCTGCCAAAGGAGCATTTTAACCACCCTCCCACATCAGGGACCACCTTCTCTCTGTGCCATGGACACATGTTCATGAAACACATGGTCCAGTGGGGTGGCACATTCCTGCAATCCTAGCATCCAAGAGGTTTATTCAGGCCAGCCTGGGCTGTTCAATGTCGAACTAGCTTGACCAGGCTAGAGAAAGAAGTGGGTCTAGGGGACAGGCGTTGAACCCTGGGCCTGGTTAGAAGGCACTGTCCTGTCCTACCCAACAGGCCGCATCGACTGTCAACATCACTGTGGTAAGTTGAGTAGCAGTACCGCCAAGGGGCAGCAGCAGGGGCCCAGGCCAGAGTCCCAGGAAATCCCTTGGCTGCCTCTCGTGTTACAGGCATCTTCCAGTATGGTACCATTTCTTGCACCAACTGCACCGACTCACATGTTGTCTGCTTCGGTTATCACTGCAAGTACAACTTGGCTGCTCTACTGTCCCTGGAGTCCTCAGTTCACCACCCGGGTAGGGGAGGGGACCTGAAGCTTGGAAAGACCCCTTCACCAAGCACTGTATCTCCCCAGGTCATCAGCACAGTGGGAGACAGCTGTACAGGGCCTCCTGAGTTACATGTGAGCTGGGGGAATGGCGGGGAGCTCATTGGGAGCCAGGGCTCAGAAGTAGGGGGGAGCACCAACGGAAGCCACTTGGTCCCTGATTCCAAACCTGCTGTTATAGAAATGCCTGGCACCAGTAAGTCCTGTTCAACCCATCTCTTTTTCTCCGGGACAGTGTGTGTGAGTACATAGGGAGTGAGCTTCTGCAGCCTCTGGAGGGCCAGGAGGATCTACCCCTTTCCTGGAGGGTCTTAAAGTCAGCTGGAGGAAAGGGTCCTCATGAAACCTGGGGCTAACCCAAGTGGGTGGCAGAGCTGGGGGTCTGAGAACTCCGCTCTTATCTTTCAGACAGGACACACAGATGAGGTAAGGCCAGGCCTTCTGCTGGAAGGGATAGGGGAAGAGGGAGGGTGAAGAAAAGGTTGCGGTGGGAGATGAAGTCCTATGGCGGGAATGGAAAGGGATGCCAGGCAGGGCTGAGCGCCCCTAAGCATGCTGGACGTCGGGACCTATGCCCACCCATGTGACCACTGCATGAAGCTTGCTGATTCCTTCTCTATGGCCTCGGACACAGAAACACCCCAGCCTTGTGAGTGACTCAGGGGAACCAGGCTACAAAGCAGGAGGCTTAGGGGAGCACCCAAACTGGAAACCCAAAGGCAAACGACAACTTTGCCACAGACCCCACCATGCCCTATTGTAGACTGGTTTCGGGTGCTGGATGACCCCACCTGGCACTCCAGGATACCAGAACAGGCAGGGCCTGGGTGCTGGGGTGCACACCTGTCATCCCAGCCCTCCAGAAGGTGGAGGCAAAGGATCTTGAATTTGAGACCAGCCTGGGCTACATGTATAGTAGGGCGGCAGTGAGGACACAGCCTGGGGAGAAAGGCAAGAGGGCAAAAGCAGACTAAGGGCTGAGGGTACCCCACCCTATCCCAAAGCCTATCACCGAACATCAGGTATCTGGACCCACAGCATCTGATCAACCTGACCTTGGAACACGCCTCCGAGTGTCTGACCCAGCACTGATGGTGGCCACTTGCCCCCAGCCTGGGTGGGGGCCAGGACTCAACTGGACCTCCAGCCTGTCCCTCCACAAGAGGCTTGCTGCTGCCTGCCTCAGGTCACCCCCTCACCCTCACAGAGCCCTGGCTGGAAAGGGTGGGGAGTAGGGCTTGTGCATAGATCGTGGGGCCCCTGGGCAGGGACCCTAGAGCTCTTTTGATTAAAGTGTTCTGACATTTCTTATGGAAGTTCTTTTCTGCCACGGGGTGCACCTAGGGGTGGACAAAGCCAATGGTCTGCACTTCTGGGGAGGCACCCAAGCAGTGGGTGGGTATGGGTGGCCCTGGTCTCTGGTCCATGGAGAGAGGACCAAGCAGAGCCCAGATAGTGCATGGAATCCCCTTCGAGATCCAGGGACTCTCAATTTATCCTAACCCTCCTCAGTGCCTGTGGGTAGGTTTGCATAGAGAGGTGTTTTAGGGGTTTTGTTTTGTTTGAGACAGGGTCTCACCATGTAGCCCTGGTTGGCCTCACAAAGACCATCAGCCTCTGTCTCCCAAGTGCTGGGATTAAAGACGTGTGCCACCACACCCAGTTTTTTTGTTTTTTTTTTTTTTTGAGGCAGGATCTCCTATATCCTGGTGTGGCCTAGAACTTGCTATGTAGCCCAGGCTGACCCTGAACTCCTAATTCTCCTGTTTCCACCTCCTGAGTGTTGGGATGACAGGCATGCTCCACACCTATGTGCTGGGGACGAACCTAGAGCTTCATGCATACCAGGCAAGCTCTGCAAACTGAGCCTGTGTCCACCCTTGGTTGAGAATAAGGCCCCAGTCTATAGTCCCTGCTGGCCCTGAACTCCTGACCCTTTTTTTTAAGGGGGGGTCCTTTTGAGACAGGGGGTCTCCCTGTAGTGGGGCCGGCTTAGAACTCACTATGTAGGCTGGACTGACCTTGAACTCACCTCACAGAGATCTGCCTCCCAAGTGCTGGAATTAGCGTTTTGGCAGGGGGTGGGGTGGGTGTCTTTTTTTTCTGAGACAGGGTCTCGCTGTAGCCCAGCTGGCCTGGCTCTCGCTATGTAGACCAGGCTGGCTTCAAACCCATCGATCTGCCTCCTGAGTACTGGGATTAAAAGCATGCACCACCACACCCCACCCTCTTTAACCTCAGCCTCCCAAGGGTTGGATTACATGGTACAGACTGTAGTTGGGGAAAAGCTGGGTCAGCTTTAGTATGTTTTGGGGTTCTTCATGGCAGACCCAGAGTAGGGGAGACTGACTGCTGGGCAGCAATGGCATGAATAGGGCTGGGTAATTGACCATTGTTACAAAGAACCCAGGTGCAGTGACCTCAGCTAGGTCACTGTCCTCCTTCCCTCCTTCCTGAAGCTTCCCCAGGTTCCACATGCTAGGGACTACAGGGACAGCCTGTGTGCCCCTCCATGTGCAGTTGCATGTCAACAAAGGTGGACATCTCGGGAGGACTCTAGCAGGGCAGCAGACCCCTAAGGGCCTTTCTCCTCCTAAGGGACTGGGGTTAGCCAGGGAAGGCTAAGGCACTAACAGGGACTGGGTGTGGTGTCGGGAGCTCAAGCTGTGCTTACTATTCATGGCTGATAGGCACACCATGCCCTTGGTTACTGCACTGCCAAACACAGTTACCTTTGAAAGCCCTTTATGGGTCCTGGCTAGGGCTGGCAGGGTGCCTACTGCAGTGGGAAAGTGTTGTGTAGCACCTGCCAAGGGGTGCTGCCTGGAACTCGGGCAGCGTCTTGGCCTTAGCCACAGTAGCATTTGGAGATTCAGTTCACGTCCATAGGGGTTTAGCTTCTGCTGATAAGAATGTGACTTCACTTGCACAACATGGGTGTGCCTACCTACAGGCAAGCAATACACTCAAGACACATAAAATAAAAAATAGTATTTTAAAAAAGTGTGACTTCACTACTATCCAACACAGTGGCAGTCACCAGCTGAGATGGGGCAGAGAACATGGGTGGGGCTTCTTCCAACCAAAGACCCTGCCCCCTCATAGCCCCATAGTAACAGTAAGAAAGTGGGGGGAGCCAGGCAAGGTGGCACACAGCTTTCATCCCAGCACTTGAAAGGCCAGCCTGGTCTACATAGAGTTCCAGGTCAACCAGGGATGCAGAGTGAGATCTTGTTGCAAAACAAAACAAAATCCCCAAACAATAAAAGTAGGGGATGGGAGATGGATGAGTGGTGAAAGCACTTGCTGATCAAGCCTGAGGACCCATGTTCCGAGTTTCAAGCACTCACATAAATGGGCAAAACAAGGTGGAGCCATGCCCGTGCCTGCAACCCTAGGGCAGATCTCGAAATGGGAGGATGTGGAGCTCCTGGCCACTAGCCAGCTCCAGGCTTAGGGAGACACCAGCTCAAGGGAGAGAGGGGAGAGGGAAGAGAGAGCAGGCCCTCCATGTCCTCTGGCTCCTGCAGGTGTTTGTGCTCATTGCACACTGTACACACATCACACACAGAAATCAAAGGTGGGTGGTGGCAACATGGGTGGAGGTTGGCAACTCACTTGCCTGTACCGCCCGAGCCCCAGGAGCTTGACTGGCGCATTAGGTGCCATCCCCAAGGGTGCTGGCAGGGATGGGGCATTGAGAGCGTGCTTTGCGACTTTTTATTGGTCACTGTGACATGATGGTCACAGCAGCGTGATACATATCCACAAGGGAATGTCGACAGCAAATCAATCATGGAACATCATGGAGCCAGAGGGTCACAGCGGGTCTGTAACAGAGGGCGCTACATGCTAAAGTGACAGCTGCCATCGAAGAAACGGCTACACTATGGCCCTCATCCCCTCTGGGTAAGGCCAGCTCATGCCCAGCAATGGAGAGCATGTGGGCTGGGGTTCCCTTGCCCTGCCCCACAACAGTGGGGCAGGCCTCGAGTGTGCCCAGGACACACACCCCCGCACCACTCAGCCCTGTGTACTTCTAGGCCCCCACAGCTGTGGCAGTGTGGGACAAGCCCATGATACGGAGTCACAATCTAAGGGGCATGGATTGCACCCCTCCACACCCCTCACAGAAACCCAGAGCGGACCACAACTCTGTCCAGCAAGGGAAGGCAGCAGCTGAGCTGTGGCCACCCATCCATACACACCTCTAGGGAGAAGCAGCTGGGTAATAGCAGCCCTGGTCACCTTTCTGTAGGTGCCACCAGTCAGGATGCTGGGGACACAAGCAGCTGGAAGGGCTCCCCAGAGGCAGCATGGGGACAGGAGGCCAGGACTGTATCCGTCTACCCTGTCTGCTGGACACCTTCACCCTGGTGCCCACATTCAAGAATGAGGTGTGGCGCTGGGAGCCCCCCCTGCTGGCCAGGGTTGGAATGGTCTTTCTTGCCATAGGGTTGCAGAGTCAGAATAAAAAATAATAAATTGATGCAACACAGGACCTCAGAGTCACAGTGGAGGCCGGTGGTTAAACTAATGCTGGGCGTAGGGACAGTACACACGACAAAGGAGAGACGAGATGAGACCCGTTAGCTCTGTCCTGAGCTCCGGCCTTCAGCACTGGGCCAGGGTAGCCTTCATTTCCTCCAACAGGCTGCTCAGCAGTGTGGCGTCACTGCATTTCCCATCCACAGACACAGAGCTCTCACCCTGGGGGATGGCCACATGGACACGCTGTACATACTGCACATACCCACTGCACTGGGCAGCTGCCCTCCCACCCTCAGCTGGGTGGGGCCTGGCTGCTCTTTGTTTTGGGTTTTTTGTGTTTTTTTTGAGACTGTCTCCCTGTAGCCCCAGCTGGCCTGGAACTTACTATGTAGACCAGACTGGCCTCAAATTCAGAGATTTGCCTGCCTCTGCCTCCCAAGTGCTAGGACTATAGGCTGCACCACCACACCTAGCTTTTTTGTTTTCTTAAACTGTAACCCTGGCTGGCCTAGAACTCAGCAATCTTTCTGCCTCAGCCTCAGACCGCTGGATGAAAGGCTTACACCGCCACGCCCAGCTATTCAAAAGCACTTTTCAGCACTGGTGTTCTTTGGTGCGAGGCACTAGGTGAGGTGCACACAGCACTATCTCCTGTCAGACAGATGGACAGAGGCCAGAAGCCAAGGAGCCTGAGCTGGCAATGCACCTGCCCTTTCCTCCTCCATTCCTGTGAACCAAATGCAGGGACAGCTGTGGGCTTGTTCTAACTGTGAGGTCTGTAGCATAGAGGTTCAGGTCTTGGCTCTTGGGATGGGGACCTCAGGGAAGAAGTCCTTGACACTGAGGGACACAGGAGGCCGAACCTGTCCCCAAGCCCTCTACCCCAGAGCCCTAGGGAAGAGGGGCAGCAGGCTACTGTGAGCTCACCTTCTTCACCAGCAGGCAAACATGGTGGCCCTGGATGGAGCGGCTGTACATGGAGGCACAGGAGTCTACCCGCTCCACAACTGTTATAGAAGAGCAGGTCAGGCCATGTCCCCTGGCAGGGCCCTCTCCAGGGTGGCCAGGGGACAGGAGCCAAAGCCCATGTGGGATGGTGCCCAGAGTGCTACAGGCCAAGCCCTGAAGAAGGGGCTGTTCGGGGGTGGGTGGGTCGGTGGCACCTGTGGGGTGAAGCCCACTGCTTACCAGAAAAATGGTGGTGAAAACAGATCTTTGCCAGAAGGTTTTGAAAAGACATGCTAATGCCATCAACTCTGATAGAGTTCATGCTCAGGTCTCCAGACTCCAACAACTTGGCAAATGCATCACTGTGGGGAACACAGAACAGAGATGCCATAGTTGACAGAGGTGCCACAGAGCCTGGCAGATGCCATGTTATGGACCTACTGTGACAGGTATGTCACCTCAATGCTTGGAATGCTGAAGCAGAAAGGAGGATTGCCGCAAGTTCTCTGGTAGAGACTCTCTTATGGTGTGAGTGTGTGTGGGACTCTGGTGTGTGTGTGGGGGGTGACACAGGACTCTTCTGGTGGGGGAGGAGCGCTGCTCTGGTGCGGGGTTGGGCAGAAGTGCACACCTGTAGCAGGGTGTGGTGATCAGATAGGAGCTGCAGCTGAAGTGCAGCCGGAAGTCCAGCTTCTCATGGGTGGCTCCACTGTCATCCTAGAGGAGGGAAGCAGCAGCTCTGAGGGGCTGCCAGTCTGGGGTTCCTCAGGCAGGCAGGTATTCACTTTCCCTAGGAAGCCTGACACCCACTGGGGCAGGGCGAAGGAGACACTGCTGGCCTGTGGAGAGGACTCCCCATGGGCCACATCGCAGCACATACCTTGGCAATGAAGGACAGTGTGCCCTTGAGCTTCTGGGCCATGATGATGCTCTGAATGGTGAACACAAACTGGGCCTCATTGGAGATACCTGGCGGGAAAGGAAACAGCACTCAGTGGGGCCAGGTCTGGCCCTGTTCTGACTCTAGGTTTCCCATGGCTGGTTGGGATGCTGAGGATGCTGCACACCCCCTCTCCCCACAGGTGACAAACTTCATCAGCAGGAGGGGTGTGGAGGGGTGTTCTACTATGGCTTGCCAGAGGCCACAGCACTCCTACGAGCAGCAAGACACCAGACACCTGGGGCTTGCTCCAGTCAGTTGCAAGGCTATACACAGGCTCACCAGGGGGCAGTTGGAAGGGCACGGGCACACCGTCATGGACAGACGAGCCCTCTGGGCGAGCCATCTTGGTGTTGAGTGAGTCCAGCACGTTCAGCTCCATGTTCTTCAGGAAGCTGCCACTCTGGTTCTCCAGGATGATGGACACAGTCACCTGACTGTCCTTCTGCAAGCTAGCCTGGATGTCGTACATCTGCATGGGCAAGGCCAGGGGCAGGGCAGGGTCAGCCCAAGAGCAGGTGAGGACCGTGACTCACCCACAACCCCAGATGTGAGGCAAACAGTCACCTCTCAGACAAATGCCTAGTCCTGTCCCTGTGTTGGAGGCCAAGTCAAAGTCTCCAGAGGAAGCCAGTAAGTCTTAACTCGCAATTTCGCCTGCCTCTGCCTGCTGGATGTGCTGCCACACCCATCTCCTATCACCCAGGGCTGTCCTCAGGTAGCGAGCTCACACAGTCCTGTGAGGTGGAGTGCCTGGGCTACTGTTTGGAGTCTTCCATGCCTGGGCACTGTTGCCAGTCCCTCAAGGCTTCCATGATGCTTTGCTCAGGCAGTGATCACCCCTTCCTATAGCACTCACCATCTTCACATAGGAGTTCTCGGCCAGAAGGCAGTAGCTAGACATGGGCTGGAAAGAGAGAAACCTGTCAGCTGCAAAGACAAAGACCCACGTGTCCACTTCATTTATCATGGGACAGGGCCAGCAGTGCAGCCCAACACTCAGGAATAACACACTGGTGAGGAACCAGAGCCATTGGCTGGCATTTGTCATGGCTTCTGCAGTGCACCAGGCCTGGGTCACACCACTCACAGCATGGTCTCTGGGGCACCCTGGTGGTTGCCTAGGGGTGAGGTGGCACTCACTGGGATGGGCTCCTCCTCCTCCTCGGCAGCACCATTCTGCACTGGCTGGACCTGGTGCTCCTGCTTCCTCTTGGCCTTCTTCTCCCGGGTGTGTTCCTCCTTCTTGTGCTTCTTCTTGTGCCGGGGCTTCTGCAGCAGAGTCAGCTCAGCCCACGGCCAGCACAAGGCACCCTGACCACCCCCAACAGCACATGGGGCCCAGGGCCTGGTAGAACAGCAAGGCCAGGTGTCCCCAGGTCCTCATTGAATGAGGCCAGCCTGGGAAACACAAGAACGTCAGGACAGGCCAGTGGCAGGAGTCACTCAGACAGTGGGGGACAACACAGAGGCACAGCAACAAGACCGTCACTGCATGGGGAAAGGCCTCTTGGCCACACCCCAGAGAGAACAGATACATAGAAGTGTGCCTGAGTTCACAGCAGCCATGGGGGAACAACCCAGCATCTGTGGATGGACAATGGACAGTGTGGCCCAGCCACACACTAGAGCATCATACAGCCCTGAACAGGAGCAAGACTCTGACACACACCAAAAAGTGGGGAAGCTCAAGGACATTACACTCAGAGACCCAGAGACAGAACACTCAGTGTGGAACTCCGTGACAGGAAATGTCCAGGACAGGAAAATCCTCAGGCACGAAGTGAATGTATGGATGCCAGGGGTTGAAGAAGGAATGGGGTAGACTGCTCATGCAATGGGTTTCCTATTGAGAAGATGGAAGGTTCTAGAATCTACAGTGGTAAGGGACATACTAGACCCCACTATCAAAGGCTTAAGCATGGAGACGGTGAACTACATCTCAATGAACATGCTCCTACAGACCCCACCAGAGCAGGTGCAGCACCCCATAGTGTGACACACTCCCTGCAACACCCAGCGTGGTGGCCCCATACCTCACCTTCTCCTGGTTGTGACCCACATTGTCCTCCTCATCCTCTGGCTCCTCTCTCTTGGGTCCCTCATGCTCATCCTTAAGGGAGGTGACAACATTCCCACTGAGCTCTTCCTGTGGAGAACCAGGCAGGTCAGGGGCTTTGGGGAGGGGGTTCCCTGATGCTCAGGAGTTACAGCTAGAGAAAGAATACAGGTAGCTTGGAGCCCCACTCTCAAGCAACACAGGTCTTCCTGAGGGTGGGGACACCTGTGGAGACAGCCCTGTGGACAAAGATCCAGGCTAGGTACACCTCCCTATCACTTAGCTCTCAGCCTGACAGACACTGGCCACAGACTACAAGCCAGCAGCAGGGAGAAGGTACACAACACCCCACAGCGCTGCACTCTACCTAACTGCACCCATGTACAGATCCAGGGCAGTGTGGGGCTGTGCCTGTGTACCAGCTAGCTCCTGCAGGGAGAGCCTGGACAAGGCTTCTGAGGGACACACTGGGGCAGAGGGGCACTTACTGTAGATGGGGTAGGAGTAGGGGCAGCAGCAGGTGGTGGGGTGGTAGACAGCCAGAAGTCTAAGTCCTCACCCTAAAGTCACAGAAGGCCAATAGAAAACTTAGAGGGCAAGGGCCACAGGCTACCCTCTCATTGTCCACCACTGCTGCCTGGGCCCCATCCAAGCAACACACGAAGCCTGGCCACTGCTGACAGGACCCCAAAGACAGGCACCCAGACACATTGTGTCTCCTAGATGCCCAGGAGGATGATGTCAGGCTACATGGTGACTAAGGTGATGCCACAACACAGTAGCACAATTTGGGAGCTGGGGGTGGGGGTGGAGTATTTTTGAAACAAAGTCTCACTGTGGCTCAGGCTGGCCTTGAAGTCTTGACAATCCTCCTGTCTCAGCCTCCAGAATTCTGGGATACAGGCATGGTGGTTCTTTTAGACTGATTGATTAAAGGAATGCACTCCATGGTGCATGTATGGAGATCTGAGGACAGCCTGCAGGAGTTGGTTCTCTCCTTCTACCATGTGGGTCCTGGGGACTGCAAGTCTTCAGGCTTGGTGGCAAACACCTTTACCTGCTAAGTCATCCTATCAGCCAAAATTTATGTGTTTGAATGTTTTGCTGCATGTATGTATATGCATCTGTGTTGTACAATGCCTGCAGAGACCTAAAGAGGGCATCTGATCTCCTGGAACTGGAGGTGCTGGGAATCAAACCCAAGTCCTCTGTAAAAGCAGCAAGAGTTCTTAACCACTGGAGTCAGCTCTCTAGCCCCCAGGAGTGGTTCTTTTTTTAAAAACAGGGTTAGGACTGAGGCCAAAGGCCATAATGCAGGAACCAGCGCAATAGTGCTTGTTGGGAGCCTGGGTTTTACACTCCCACACGGTGGAAGCCAGAGGTGAGCTGAGGCCCCTGGTGGCTCTGGGCACCGAATCTCAACCCAGGCCACGACCAAGGCCAGGGACAGGGGTGGTTCTTTAAACCCTGTTTCTGAGCCCAGCATGGTGGTGCACTCCTGAGATCCTCAGGAGCCTGTGGCAGGAGGACCAGCTCAGACCAGCTGGGGCTATACGGAAGACACTGTCTCAAAAACACAGGCCTGGGGGTGCAGTTCTATCACAACAATCGCTTGGCAGACAGAGGCAAGAGGACTGCAAACCCAAAGCCCAGACAGCTAGTGAGGTGGTGCCTCAGAGCACAAAGTTCAGAGGCAACTGGGACATGGCTTAGTGGTCACCTGCCTGGCAGGCGCACAGCCCTGGGTTCCAGTACCTCCGCTCCCATCCCCCAATTTCTTTGCTGTATAAATCAGTTTGAGAACTGTAGTTAACTCTGGATGGAGCTCCCTGCTCTGCTCCCTTTGGGTCCCACCTTGCACAGCAGGAGATCTGCATACTCAGGTGCCTGCCTGTCAACAGGCTAGACCTCCAATCCAGACTATGGGAGGAAGGCAGAGCCTGGGACCTGACCCACATACCCTCTTCTTCTCTCTCTCTATCTTCTTCTCTCTTCCTCCCTCCCTCTCCTTCGGCTTCTTCTCTTTCTTTTTGAGTTTCTTGCTCTTCTTCTCTGTGGGTGCGTCCTTCTTCTCCAGAGACTTTGAGGTCTCAGCATTCCTGTGCTTCTGGACCGGCAGCTTCTCACTGTCAGCCAAGGGCCTGGGGAGAGGAAGGAATCTAGGGGTCACCATGTAGAGCTGTAGCCCAACCTCAGGACTGCCGGTCCCTTGAATTTTGGGGCTCCTGAATGTGCCCATGATGGCTCAGTTTCTGGGAACGTGGATCCTGCTCCCAGTGCACCAAAGTGTCCCAGGTCTCTTTTTGTCTGTGGTGGTGTATGCACATGCTCGTGTGGGTTGTGCCTGTGCCTGTGTATGTAGGCACAAGTGTGCTCAAGCATGTGGAGGACAGAGGATGAGGTAAGGTGTCGTCCCATCACTCTCCACCTCACTGAGATAAGGTCTCATTGGACCTGGCCAACACCTCTACTCCACCAGTGTGCCCCAGGGATCTGTCTCCACACCCTCAGCACTGTAGTTACAGATATGAGCTGTTGTACTCAACTTTTAGTGGGTGCTGGGAATCCAAACTCAGGTCCTTGGGCTGACACAGCAGGCACTGCGCTGCCTGGGTCATCTCCCAGCCCTCTCTTCCCTTTCTAATGGTCAAGCGCTTCCCAACCCAGGCCAAGGATTTTCCTTGCATCCCAGGAATGAAGACCCCAGTGCAAGTACAGCCTCTGTAGCCTGCCCCTCACTTACTTGTCCAGGTCAATGTCCAGCGCCCTGTAAGGGTCATTGGGGTCTTTGTCATCCTCGTCACTGGGCAGAGCATTCTGAGGGAAAAGAGAGGCACTCAGGGCTCAATTACAATCATGGGTTCTGCTGGAGGCTCCTGTCCCCTCTACGTCAGAGAACAGAACTGCTTGTATAGGCACATCCACATCCACATGTGCTGGATGCCTAGGGGTCAGCCTGGAAAGCCATCCCTCAGGACCTCAAGTGAGAAGACACCACTGGCCTGGTGCGCAGGTGAACTGCGGTGTCCTCCCAGAGAGCCAGACCCTGCCTCCCACCCTCCTGGAAACAAGCCCAGCAGGAACAGCCATGCCAGGGCTGGGCACCTGACCTCGGGCATCTCCTCAGTGACAATGTCCACCCGTTGGGCGGGCGCAATATCCTCATCGCTCTCAGTGGGCAGCGAGCTATGGCGGCGGTGGCGGCCCTTCTTCTCCTTCTTCCTCTTCTTGTCCTTCTCCTGCCGCTGCCGGTGTCGGCGCTCCTCCTCCAGCTTCACGTACTGGTCCGACATGGGCATCCCTGAAAGGAACACTCACTCAGTGCAGCCGAGGGTAGACAACGGCCACGAGATGTGCAGGGAAGCCCAAAGTCCCACAATGATGTGTGAGGGCCAGTAGACACCTGCCTGGAACTTTGAGAGGCACTGAGAGGTCGATCTGCACCACAGGAATGTGCTCCACCCCAGGCGTGTCCTGGTACCGCTGCAAGAGCAAAAGCAGGCTGTGAGGACTCCTCAGGACAGGAGTCTGCGAGACCCCTGGGAGGAGTGTGGGAGCCTGTGTGACTCTTAGGAGGGTCAGGTGTCTGTCCCAGAGGAAGGAACAAATTGAAGCCTTTCTTTTTCACTTGAATCCACCCGAGATTTTTCCTTTTCTTGAGATGGTCTCATGGAGCCCAGGGTGGTCTCAAACTTGCTATAATAAATGAGGATGACCCTGAACTCTTGAGCCTCCTGCCCCTTCATAGGTATTGGGGTACCAGGCATGTGCCACCACACCCAGTGATGCAGTGTTGGGGATGGACCCAGGGCCTCTCAAGTGCTAGGCGAGCTCCATCCACTGAGCCCAGCCACGGTGCCAATCTTTGCCTGTGTGTTTAACCCCAGGGTAGGCAGCTGTACACCCTGGGGTGGCGAGTACACTCCTCCCAGGCCATCCTGGTTACCATTGACCCCAACGTCACCACATGATCTCCCCACAATGGCTGATTCGCTCAAGAGATATGATGGGCAACAAAATGCTGAGGGACCCACCACCTGCCTACATGGGGCAGCTAGGGAGAGTGCCTGCCTGAAGACGGTGTACACTGGTCCTAGGACCCCATCAAGGCCACCCAGCAGTGTGTGAATCCCCAATCAGAGGATCCTTCCTGCAGAGACACACATTGCGGACAACTACGTGACGCAGGAGACACGCAGCCTAGACCTGAACATGGAACAGGGGCTCAGCTCTCCTTCCAGCTCCTCTCAAACCCAAGTGCATGGGCCTCAGCCACCCATAGACACTCAGAGACAGCACTCACCTTCTGCGGGGATGGAGAGCTCTTGATGTAGAAGGGATTGTTGGCTTGTTCCTGCTTCCGGGCCTCTCGTCGCTGTGCGGAAAGGACATTACATGAGCACGCAGGGAACCAGCATGCTGCATAAGAGCTCCCGAGACCCCCAGTGGCAGGTGTCAAAGGAGGAAGTGCTCAAGGAGACAGGCTCAGAGTTGGGGGCACAAGGGATCTGCATCTGTCCATCATGAGCCTGGGTTCTTAACCCCCACTCACTTGTACAGGCTTAGCAGGGTGCACGGCAGTGTGAAGTCACTCTGCTGTCTCCCTGCAGGGCCCAGGTGGAGGTGCTGCTGGCCTCTGCTCTGGATGGGAGGGTAAGGTGGACCCACACTTTGGGAGGGTCCTCTAGTCCTTGTGTCACAGGCTGTGGCTGGCAACATGGCTGACCTCAGGTGTCTGACCCTCAGTTACTCTGCATAACAGAGCCCTTCTACAATGGTTGCCCTGTGCCCACTGCTCTGGAACTGTGCTCACCCGGGCCAGCTCCTCCTCATCCTCCTCAGGCTGTTGGCGCCGTGAGCGCCTTGGCTCCTCATCGTGGAAGATGGCCTTGGGTTTCTCATCCTCAGACTCGCTGTCCGAAGGTGGCTCATTAATCCAGGCATCCAAGTCTAGGCTGGGACACACAGGTGGTCTGGCCTTCTCCACAATGGTCCACCATGTGCCTGACTATAACACCCTTCAACACTAACACCCACCATCCACAGGTGAGGAACAGATGTTACTGCCCTCTGAGGACAAAAGACAGGAAGGCAGCCTGGAGGCCAATAGCAAGCCACGCCACTCCCAGAAGTAAACATTAGGAGTGGGGCAGCTCCAGGCCAGTGCCGGCAGGCTCAGGCCACCCAGACACAGGGCCATCTTCTTGCCTGCCTGGCCCCTTCCTGTCTGGGGAAAGGTCCAGGGGTGTGGGTACCTAATCTTCAGTATCAGGGACAACTTTAGTTGGCTATACTGAATCTCTGCCCCACCCCCCAATCCTCACCCTTCAGGGACTGGGACCTTCTTCTGGGCCTTGGGAGCAACGGGGTTCAGCTCGCCGGCAAACAGAGCGCTGACTTCCTCAGCCACGGGCACGCCTTTGGCCTGTAGCTTCTGCACATGTTTCACCAGCTGCAGGACGCATGATGCCTATGGAAGCACGAGTGTGGGTGGGCACTCGCCTAGAGATGCTCAGTCACTTTGAGGGGACTAAGCAGTCAGGTGTCTGGGGACAGGGTGCTGGTGCTTGACTCCTCCCCATGGAGCCCAGAGACCCAGGCCACATTCAGTCCTGTCTCAGAGAAGGAACAAGCCCAGCAGTGTGGGAACAGGAGGGTGCTCAGCTTCAGTAGAGACACCTACTTTAGGTTTGCACCAAGACCACAGGGTTGCCTTCTGTGGGGGTCATCTCCTGTGGGTGTCTCTATAGCCAATCAGCCCTCTGTGGGCTCAAACACCACAGAAACATGGCTGGACTGGGCAGCCTAGCGCCCCTGCCACAGGGTGACCACATGGTTGGTCCAGACAAATATCAGTGAGTGGCCAAGTTTGTGCCCATGCCTCCTACACAGCCCTGGGCCAGCTCCTCAGCTATGTGATAGGGCCGTGCCCACACTTAACCTCCTCACAGGGTCACCGGAGACCCAGCAGGAGCCATGCACTGCCAGCAGGCACACTGACTCAGTAAGAACCCACATCAACCACAGGATACCAGGAGTGGCCACAGCAACTGGCCCTGATGCCCAGGTACCACTCCAGGGCCTTGGCTACCTGTTCTAATAGTACACAGCAAACTCGAAGTCCAGACTGGGTGGCTCAGTGACACTACACACATGCCCAGCACACATACTCCTGCTTCAAGTTGTTTGCAAACCCATTCTCCTATAACAGCAGCAAGATCATGCCAACTCCGTCACTTCCCAGGCCATTCCACCCCCCAAGCCTTGCTGATAGACCCTCAAGCCCCAGGTTGGCAGAGCTAGGACTCAGGGACTTCACCCCCACTCTGAAATAGGTACAAGTCTCTCTATACTGGCTGCTGCCTGAGACAGAGAGGGATCTAGAAGGGGCTAAAGTGCTTCTGGAGGGTTGGGGATCACTGGTGAACCTAAGCCCTGAGTCTAGCGCCAGCTGTGGTTGTTTGAGTGCTTAATGCTTCCCACAGGCTAACACATTCAAACATGTTCTCTGGCTCCAGGTGCTGTTTTAAGAGGCTGTGGACTTTTCAGGTGGGGTCTAACTTGGGGACCCAGGCTAGAACAGGTGATAGTATCAATAAGAGGGTTCTGTCTGATCTGTAGGTTGTGCTATGCTGTCCTGGATGTATCATAGGAGCATGAACTAAGGCCAACCTTCCCCTCATCAGGCTTGGTGGAGCCAAGCCCTGCTGCAGGTCTTACCCGCTCCTGCACCTCCAGGTCAGCACTCTGCACGAACTGGGGCAGCCGATCCACCATGAGTTGCGTGGCCTCCTGGGCAGCCTCAGGCTCAGCTGCCTGTTCCTTGTGCTGAAGAATGGCAGCATACAGCTTCACCACGTTCTGCACATAAACAGCCTGGATGTGGCCGGGCAGCGTTGTCACCTTGGGCCGAAGCATGGCCTCCAGGGTCTGTTGGGGCTCCTGCAGGTACCTGGGGAACAGGGGCTGCATGAGGCCTCTGTGCACACCTCACAAGAAGGCAGGGATGGGAAAGGTGGGACCCAGAGTCAAGGAGTGACCTTGGGATTCCTTGAGTAGAAGCTAGGACTGAAAGAGGATTTGGGGGAACCGGTAATTCTACATAAAGAGACGTGGCTGACAAGAGCATGGTAAAGGTGTGGCTGTCATGGCAGGTGCAGAAGACACTGCTGGTTACTCCATCTGTTGTTCTGTGTATCTACATGAGCTAGCTGTGACCTCAGCATTCAGGAGACTGGAGGAAGAGGAATTGGACAGCCTGGGCTACCTGTCTTAAGAACCAAAACAGCCAGGTGTGGTGGTGCACGCCTTTAATCCCAGCACTTAGACGGCAGAGGCAGGCGGATCTTTGTGAGTTCAAGGCCAGCCTGGTCTACATAGTGAGTTCCAGGACAGCTGGGGCTACAGGGAGACCCTGTCTCAAAAAGACACCCCCCGAAGAAAAAGCTGTAGTTAAGAGCACTGCCTATTCTTGCAGAAGACCCGGGTTAATTCTACATGGCAGCTAAGAACTGTCCGTAACTCTAATTCCAGAGGATACGACGACCTTGTCTCTCCTCTGGAGCATTGCTCGACATGGGTGCACTTGCATGCATGCAGGCAACACACACATATATATAAAATAAAAATAATAAAATATTTTTTGCAGAGGACCCAGGTTTGATTCCTAGCACCCACATGGCGGCTACGAACCATCCTTAACTCCAATTCCAGGGGAATCTGAAGGCCTCTTCTGACCTCCGAGGCATTGCAATGACATGGGTGCACTTACACACATGCAGGCAATACACTCATACACATAAAATAAAAATAATAAATTTTAAAATAAAAGCTAAAAACAAAAAAAACACACCCAAAACCTAAACTGAGGATACAGCACTATGGCAGACCACTTGGATGACACTGCAAGATCTTGGGTTCAACTCCCAGGACCATGAAAACAGACTTGTTAATTAATAAACTTCTCCCCATGTGAAAACAGATCCTGTGTACTCTGAGGCTGTCCTGCAGGTTCAGAGATGAGGCTCCCCACCAAGTCCTGACAGGTCCCCAGGGGCTGGGGAAAGGCATTGGGTGCTGGCACGAAGATGGTTGGGCATTGGTCTGTGCTGCTGCTGGGCTGGGCCTGGGGCACTGAGGCAGTGGAAGATGATAGGGAAAATAACTTGGCTCCCGATTTCTGTGACAGCCCCAAGTTGAACACTTAAATGCATACTTCTCTGTGGAGCTTACTGACAAGTCTGTCTGGGCAGCAGATGTCCTGTCCTTGAAGGATCAATGAGCCTGAGCCAGGTTGGAGGTGGCATGACAGTGCTGGGGATCCCCCAGCCCATCCAGTCATATACTCCTGAAGCCTGGTGTGAGGTGCTGATCCTCTGCAGGGCACAGCAATTAAGCACCTCACTGGCCCACCACCAGCTGTGGCATGGAGCTGAGCTAAGGGGCAGTGCAAGGGCTGTTGGGGATGGGCCACACTATCTTTGCTGCATCGCAAGCCAGGTAACCTGTCCCCAGGTCTATGACCTGGTGGGTATCCTTCCAGGGTACCCTTCAGGCATGAGGCAAAACCATTACAGGAGCCGTCAGTGGCTGGGGGCTGTCTATTGGGGAAGAGTACTTGAGGCAACAAAAAGGTCTGCTGACATGTCCCTCCAACTGGCCACACTGGACCACTTCCAAGGGCTCTATCAACTCACTCAGAGAACTCCCCACAGATCCAGGCAGCAGCATAGAGCACCTCGCAGATACCATTGCGCTGGGTGCTGCTGGCCACCAGGTGGGCACTGTCAAGCAATGCAGACATCTGAGACACTGCAAACTTGCGGATGGCCTTGACTCGAATAGCCACATCCAGCATCTGCGCCGCGATGAGGTGGCCATGACGGGTGCCTTCCAGGCGTGTGAGTTCCACGAGAATACTGATGTACCACTCAAAGTTGGTGATGTGCTGGTAGTTGGACTGGCTGCAGATGTCAATGATTTTGGTGAGTAGCTCGTCACGATAGGCAGTGCCCTCAGCCTTGTCCACGTGCATCATCAGCTTCTTCACAATCTCCATCAGGTTCTTCTTGGACACCTGCAGAGCGGGTAGACAAGGCCAGCCCTGAGCTCACAGGCCCATGCAAGGCTGTCAGCCAGGGTGTCCTGCACCCCTCTGCCCCAGGTCTGAGGTTGAGTGACTCGAGCTCTCAACCCGCCCTCTGCAGGCTTCAGAGACTCTGGGACACCCTGGACTGGCTGCTCCCAGGGCAGGGACACACCATGCCGTAGAGCAGATCAAGGGCGCGCAGGCGGATAGACTCGTCTTTGTCGTCCAGGCACTGCAGGATCAGGTCCTTGTGTGACTGCACTGACTTGGGGTGTGTCTTCAGGATCTTAGACATGGCTAGCAGTCCCAGATACTTCACTGTGGAGACCAAGTAACCATTAGCTTGGGGACAGGGAAGGGCAACCATGGCCCAGGGAGCAGCAGGCAGAGGGTGGCACCACAGCCATGACACCCTAAGAACCTGATCACCCAGGGCTGAGTCTCTAGCCTGATGTTCCTTGCAAGTGACAACCACCTTTATGAGGCCCTCCAGAGAGTCAGGGTATAGGCTGTGCACCCCAACGTCTGGCACAGGCCCATATGTGGCCTTCTGGAAGGTGGAGGAACAGTCTCAGGATGAGGTGGTAAGAACCTGTGACAGTGTTTGAGGACCCAGGCAGACACCCCTGCTCTTAAAGCACACTGCTAGCGAAATGACAATGGCTGCTCAGCTCCTTCAGGTGTTCACAGCCCCAGTGGCAGGCCTCACATCTTTGGTTCACAGTTCACGAGCTCAGGGAAAACCCCTGGGAGTCTGAGGCACTGGGACCACAATGTTATGTGAAGCATGAGGAACAGGACACAGTTCTGGACCTGGCATCTGGAGCCTGGCTTTGTAACGAGATTTCATAAAGTGGCCTGTCGACCATGGCCATGAATGAGCAACAATGTGCACCCAAGCAGCTGCTATGGAGACTCTGCAGCCCATGAGGGGGAGGAGAGGTGTTCTCCCTGGACCCTGTGGGAATGTCTGCCAACATGTAAAGGACTAGGACTCCAAGTGGTCACCTGAAGCTCAGCCTGCACCCGAGTGTGGTGCCAGGTAGATGGCATGGTGCTGGATCCACCGTGCAGCAGCCCTAACAGAGGCACAGCACAGAGTCTCTGTACTTCCCTAAAGATCACTCAGGCCATGCTATCAGGACCATCTGTCAGCGGGGCTCTGCCCACCTGCCAGAAGCTTTGTTTGAAAGAAGGTCACACGTAGCTCAGGCTGGCCTTTAAGTATGTAGCTAAGACTGAACTGAAACTCCTGATCCTCCTGCCTCCCCTCCCAAGTGCTAGGATGACAGGTGTGTATGTGTACCAACACTCCAGGCTCTTTTCTGTGAAAGATTTTAAAATTACATTGCATGGAGACAGGGTGCCAATGTCAGAGGACAACTTGAAGAATCGTTTCTCTCCTTCCAGCATGTGGGGCCCAGAGACATGAAATTCAGGTCATTAACTCAGTGGCAAGAGCCACTGGCACCTGACCAGCTTCCTTTTTCTGTTTTTGAGACAGGGTCTTGTTATGGTGCCCAGGCTGGCTTTGAACTTTTTTAGTTTTTTGACACTGGTCTCACTAGAAAGCCAAGGATGACCCTGAAGCCTGCACTACCATATATGGTTTTGAGGTGCCAGGTGTGGACCCCAAGGCCTGACACACCTAGGTGAGCCTCTACCAGCTGAGCCCTAGGTTCTGTGTGCATCTCCACTGCACGCAGAGCAGCACTCCACCTCCTCCTCACAAAAATGAGTGCCTAGGACTTAAACCAGAAAGTCAACTCAAGACTTCTGGCCTGAGTGCAGAAGGGGAGCCCACAGCTGAGGAAAGCAGAGGGGCAGAGGGTGCAGGGCAATCTGATTCCCATTGTGGCTGATCAAAACGACACACAAGGACGACATTCTTGGCCCCAGCTCCACACAGGTGGAGATACAGGCTGGAGAGCTGGTGGGCAGAGGTGACTTACAGTTCTGATCAGAGTCCTCTATCAGTATCCGAAGCTTCTGAACGCAGAGCTGAGGAGAAAAGCCGCGCTTGCTTAAGGTATCCACGTCATGGCTGGTGGGTCCACCCCACTACCACATCCTGGGGTGTGAGTCTGGGGACATGTAGGACAGTGACTGCAGCCCTCACACTAGGAACTCTGCTCAGTGATAGCAGCATGAGTAAAGACTGGGCAAGGCTGTGCACACCAGGACATCAAGTGTTGGTGGTAGCCATTCACACAAGTTGCATTTGGGCCCCATGGGGGGCAAGTAGAATACCATGGAGGGGACGTGGTACCCTAGAGGACTAGGTAGGGACAAAGGGCTTCCCTCACACTGTGACTGCGATAAGAATAAACACGGAGGTGACAATGAACTGTCTCCAAGCTGATCAGGGGCCTGGGCACTTGCCCCACCATCCCACCAGACTCCATGCTGCTGAGTGCACACAGCCCCATCTTCCCAGAGCCACACCTGGATGCTGGCGCTATGGTTGGGCATACCGGACGACAGTGAGATAAGCACTGGAACAGAGAAAAACCAAGGTCTGTCCTCAGAGTCAGATACCAAGTCCTGTGCTGTCCCACCCTGGACACCAGGGAACTGGTACCCACTGGCTCCCGAGGGGCTCCAGAAGCAAGGCCACTGGGACACCTGATGGTGTTTGAGCAGTGTGGAGCCACCACAGGCCCAGGAAGTGTGTGCTCAGAAGGTGGCTGCCAGATCTGGCCTGGGGGCGTCAGGGGCCTGAAGCAGGTGCCTAAGATGGGTTCACACTCAGCCCCCGTTCCCTTCTAGGATCTGGGGTATCGACCTGTGCTGAGCAGAGGCACCATGTGTCATCCCCACAAAAACCCTGTGTACTTCTAGGCATGGTGGTAAATACCTTTGGTACCAGCACTCATGAGGCAGAGGCAGGTAGATCTCTGTGAGATTGAGGGCAACCTGGGCTACATAGGGCGTCCCAGGCCAGTTGGGGCTTCACAATGAGACCCTGTATCAAAAAACCCCAACAAAACAAAACAAAAAGAGAAGCTAACCCTGGGTACCGTGGGGTTTAGGGGCGCTCTCAGAGGACCACAGTCCACACGTCTCAGCCTGTAGGTGAGGACACAGCACGTTCTGTGACTGCTAGAAAGTCTGGTAGGCAAGCTGCAGGGATCTGCCAGTGTCACCTCACCAGCACTGGGATTCCAAGCCCTCACCCTACTGGGCTGCCACATGGATGCTAGGGAGGAAACTGAAGTCCTCATGCCTACATGGCAAGGACTTTGCCCACTGACCTATCTCCTAGTCCCACTGTGTCTGTGGGTGAAATGATTGTCAGTCAGCTCTGCTGGAGGCCTGGAGGAAGCCTGGAGAGCGAATGCTGACCCCCAGGGAGACAAATACAGCCTGGTCTTGGGTTTGGTCCCATGTGGGCATCCAGCCTGTCCTATCTGCAAAGCGGCCTGAGGATGGGCTGGGCTGTGAGCTGTCTGGGAAACCTGGGTGCACAGCAGCCCCGAGGATGGGAGCCTGGTAGGGGGCAGTTTTCTGAGCGGTCCCCATCCATGGCCCCAAGGCCCACTCACCTGCTATCACAGTGTTCACGCACTCATACAGCAGAGACATGGCAGAGGTGCTAGAGAGGGGAAGGAAGTTGTAAGGGGCAAGGACGTATGCTTGGGCAGGGAGGGAACCCTACTAGTGCCACCCCTCAAACCCAGAGACACGACAATGGCTGCTGTGGCACTTCCCAGGCAGGAAGCACAGCTGGTGACAATCACCACTCCACTCCTCCTGCTTGGTACCGTCCCTCCCTGTGGCCATCCTCCCTTGGGGGTCGAGGAGAGTTAAGTGTACCCCTAAGACTGCTCAGTGTGTGGAGCAAAGTGAAAGGGGACCAAGCTGAGTATGGCAGTGCACACTTATAATCGCAGCACTCAGGAGGCTGAGGCAGGAGCATTGCCATGAATTCCAGGAAGTTCATCCTGCGATACAGGATGAAACATGCCTCAAAAAAGCAATACCAAACCAAAACACTGCGACAAAACATGTTGGTCATGGCAGTGAAAGCCAAGAGGGCAGGAAGGAGAGGACAGAGCTGCACCAGTGTCCTGTCCATGGTGGCCGAGCATCGCCTACCTGTGGATAAGGTTGGTGAGAGGCTCGATCAGCTTCTTGCCCAGCCTGGGCTCCAAGGGGGTCAGGGCACCGAACTGTAAAGACAGGAGGGCTGAGGTTAGTGGGGTGCCCTTGAGCACAGAGCCAGGCCTGGCCCCCCACCCAAGGTACTTGCCAGTTTGATGATCTTGATGAGGACCCAGTTGTTGGTGGATGACGTCATGAGCTTGAAGAACAGTGGGGCCAGGGACAGGTAGTTCTTGGGGTTGCGGCGTGCCAGTTCGCAGATGACATTAACGGCCGCAGACTGCACCCCTACAGACCAAGATGGACATCCACATCAACAAAGAGTGAGATGTTCTGTCATCAAGGTGACGTCCCCATAATGAGGGGGTGCACCATCAAGGGGGCACCTTGTCAGCAGGTATAACTCCATCAACAAGTAAATCCACATCTGTAAGGCCCACCCACAAAGTGCACCATGCCCATCACAGAAGGGTGTCCCTGTCGGCAGGGTACTGATGCCCTGGTCAGCAAGCCCTGTAGTATAGGCCCATGGTGGAAGCTTGAGGACATGCTGGTGATCCTCACCCTGCACACAGCAACCAGAGTCCCAGGTTTGTGTGTGGTACAGTAGAACCAGATGCACACACACAGCAAGCACAAGCACACACCATCTGCCAAGCGGTCCCAGGTCCTAGTTCTAAATGCTTTCTAACCACATGTGAGTACCCTACCCTGTCCCACCACAGGAGGATCCCGTGCTCAGATCCTAAATACTACAACTTCAGCCAATGACATGCTCACCAGTCCCACTAGGCCTGTGCTGAATGTGAGGTCTACACAGTACCTGTTCTGCTCAGTCACCCTGCAGAGTGGCTGGCCCACTCCCCACACCTGCATGGCCCCCAGGAGGAGCCTGGGTTCTGCTGACCTGACAGTGAGCTGACTGTGCTGGACTCCATGGTCCTTGGTAACCTGGAGGAAGCTGTGGCCACCAGAAGCCAAGTGGAGCCTCAGGCAACTGTGAACTGTGGTCCATGGCAGCCAGCCCCTCACCAGCGCACACCACAGGGAGCTCACCATGGGGACCAGATGCAGAGCTTCCCGCAGCCCTCACTCCTCCCAGTCTCCCAAGCGCTGGCTGGCACAGAGCTTCCTATCACCCACCCGGGTCAGGGTCCTCCAGCTTCTCCTTGAGGCGAGGGAAGGCGGGGCGCAGCGACTCAGGGTACTTGAGGAACACCTTGTACATGATGAGCACCGCCTTCTTCCTGATGTACGGCTTGGTGTGTGACATCTGCAGACACAGCAGGGTTGGTGCCCCCTGCCTGTGCCCTCACCCCAGTCACCACCTCACCAGCCACCCTCCTGCCCTAGTGCCGGGCCCACAGAGAGATGGAGAGTTATCAGAGAACTGGTTTGGTCACAATGTGTGGCCCACTCTTGTGTTGGCTTGCTGTCCCTGGAGCTTGTCACTGGGGATGTTCAAGGCTACCCGAGCCAAGATGCCAACAAGGCGGTCCCTGCCCTGATGTTTATAACAGGCACCCCCTCACTCATCGGGCCCCAGGGCAGGCCGCTGGTCAGCTTGTATACCCTCTAGTCCACAGGGCTGGAGACTGGAAGGCATCACAGGCTGGACTTCCAGCCTGGTGGTCTTTCTTAACGAGGCTCTGCCTGAACAGCTCAAGCTACCACAGACAAAAAGGGGAGGAAAGGGTGGCTGAGTCCCAAGAGAACTCTGCTCACAACAGGCACCTGAGAGATCTGGATGGGGCAGCAGGGCTCTGGCCCCCTGGTACCAGGCCACACAGCAGCCACCTCAGCATCTCAGAGCAAGGGCTCCAAATGGTTTCAGCCCCTTTACTCACCCTTGCCCCCACTGGAACAAAAGTGAAGAGCAGGTACTCACACACTTACCAGGGTCATGATGTCATTTGCCAGGTCTCTGGCGAGATCTGGGGTGACAAAACAGGACAGACCAGTCAGTGCCACTCCAGTGTCATACTGGCTGGGGCTGCTCAGGTCCTGTAAGAGGACAGGAGGAGGGTCAATAGGGGTCCCTCAGGCTGCACATCCAAGAAGCATGGCACCTGCATGGTCAGCTGCCCACAGCCCAGGATGAGGGAGACATTATATAGGCATCACCAAGAGGAGTAGGGAAACAAAGTGAGAGGCAGGGGACCAGAAAGCTCTGGATGAAAGCTACCAGGCATCTGGGCTCCCTGAGGACAGAGACTATGCTGTCAGTCACAAGTCCTGAGCAAGGACTGCCCAGTTCCAGCACAGCATGCATCCCAGAAGGGCAATAGGCCTGTGCCATGACTAATCCCATAGGATGGGACCCAGGGATCTGCTTTTATTCAGAGCTTTCCCCCAGGATGCCACCAATAGTCCTTTGGTCCCTCCTGGAGCTCCAGAGGCAGGCCAAGTCCATCTACCAATTGAATGGAAAACTGAAGCAGAACACCAGGCTCCTTGAACCTCCTCCCACGGCTCTGACTCCCACTCTGCCACTAGAGGGCACCTCTATTTTCTGAAGGGCTCCCCAATAGGAGGTGGATGCACCAGGGCACCAGTGCTAGACTTACAGTCAGAAACAAGAAAATGTGGCCTTTGAGGCCTCCCATCCCGTGCAGAGGATGGAATAGCACCAGAAGCCATCCCTGTTAGCCCTGCTGCACGACTGCCCCAAAGGGACAGAAAAGAGCAGCAGAGCAGTGAGCATACTGCCCATCTTCTGGAAGGAAGGACACTAGGACACAGAGAGATGACAAGGTGCCTGGAGCCTGCCCAGGAAGAACCAGCACTGACCCAGGGACATGTGCCCATGATGAGCGCCATGAGTGCAAGAGGCAGCACATGACCTTGGCTGCAGGTACCATCCAGGTCCCTGCCAGGACAATGGCAAGAGAGGAAACAGTGCTGAGGACAGGTGTCCCCAAGGTGGCTGGTTCCTCTGAGGGGCGGGGCCTACGGGGTGGGGGGAGGATGGACTACTGAGGGGCTGTGAGCAGCTGGGCATACTCAAGGACAGAATGGGCTGGCACTTATGGGCCCTCAGGCAAGATAGCTGGACCCTGAAGTGAGGTGACTATGGGTGTGGCTCAGCCTGGGGCTAGGCACTGGGTGCTCATTCCTTTGTAAGTTACCCCCCCATGATAATAATAAATGCACATAAAGATATGTTATATGGTTTGTCTGATAGCACAAAAGACACAGAGAGAAATCTGGTAACAAACTGGTATAGGCCGGCCCCAGTAAACAAACCACAGCCTTGTGGATGTGGGTGTCGGAAAGCAGTGCTGTTCCTGCTGCCTCTGTGGCTGGTCAACTGGGATCTGAGTCCCAAATCCAGGAGAGAAGCCAATCAAAACCCATAAGCTTAATGGGGTTAGGGATAGTCACATGGGTTATAGAATGGATTATAAAATCTGTAACTAAAAAGAGGCCAGCCACGCAGAAGCATGGGCCACAGCTATATTGTAAATGTGGGGATATGTTGCAGATATGTGAAGATTTGTTAAAGGTTATTCAGAGGCTAGAAAAACTTTTACCCCCAAACAGAGCACCCAGAGAGGGAGCAGGCAGGGGATGTGCCCCAGGCAGGGGAAGCTGAAAAGGCTAGGGAAGTCTTGGCAGACCCAAAGCTGGAGAGAGAGAAAAGGCGGGACACACTTTGACTTGTATAAGGTCCAAGGACTCAGAGGAACAGACAGATAATAGTAAAAAGGAAAAAAAAGCTAACAGTGCTGCAGCTAGGAAATAGTCCATGCTAGAACGGTTAAAACTAGGAAAAACTTACAAGCAAGCAAGCAGAGAGCCCCTTGGCCATGTGGCTTGTGAGGGTGTGGGACATGGGAGCAAATGACATAAAGTCTAAGTGCTCCAGAAGCTCCACAGCTGAGTTATGTAACCACCCATCCATCCTTTCGATATAGGCTGTTCAACCTAGGCCAATGCTGGGGGGAGCAGTCCTTAATGGGATGGCTAGTTGAAAGCATTAAAGATACATGGTTGTCACCAAGGGAGACTAACATGATTAGTAGGGGCTGGAGGAATATAAAGGAGGGGCAGGCATTACTGAGAGAACTAGGTATGAGAAAAGCAATATATGATGTCCAGTTCACTGGGCCAGATAAAAGACTGTTCACCAGAGATATGAAGGAAAGCCTAATTCAACTGGGACCTCGAGAATGGTATGGGGTTTTAATGGTTTTATTAAGCTCTTTGATGGAACAGGATCTTTATAAAGTGAGAGAGGCTCTGGCAAATCTAAATGATTCTGACCAGCATGTAAAACGTGTCTGTAAAATAACAGAACACCCTATAAGAGATATAAAAAAGACCAGACCGAAGAAATGGTCCACTTGGGTTACTCAAAGACAAATGTGGCAAGACTTATGTCAAGCCCAAATTCCCAGAGAAAAAATTGATAGAAAACCAAATTCCGTACGAAGGCGTTTCTGGAAGGCTTTAAAACCAGAAGAACAGTTTACAAAAGACATTTGAAAGATAAAAACCAAGGGAGCTGGGCATGGTGGCGCACGCCTGTAGTCCCAGCACTTGGGAGGCAGAGGCAGGTGGATCTCTATGAGTTCAAGGCCAGCCTGGTCTACATAGTGAGTTCCAGGACAGCTCAGGCTACAGGGAGACCCTGTCTCAAAAAGACAAAAAAAAAAAAAAAAAAAAAAAAAAAAAAAAAAGAACCTAAACAAACTGTACAAGGGGTAGTTAAGAATCACCAAGGATTAAATAAGATGCATTTCTCTTCTGATAAAAGCTATACTGGGGGTGGAAGCAGGTTTTCCCATAAAATTCTCCCCCAGCAACCTGGTGTGGTCAATGGGAAGATGACAGATACGGCTAGAGTCAGGAGGCAGACTCAGGGAACCAACAAGTGCAGCGGGGACAGGAGAAGCCCCCTGCCTCCTTAGCCCAGTGAAGGGTCAGGCAACTGGAGCCAACATCTGTAAGGGTATCAAGAATAAAAGAATACAAAGAGACCCCATGTCCAAAGGGATAACTAAAAATGGTAAAGAGCTGGAGAGATGGCTCAGCGGTTAAGAGCACTGATGGCTCTTGCAGAGGACCTGGGTTCAATTCCCAGCACCCACATAGCAGCTACAAACTGTCCTTAAGTCCAGTTCCAGGAGAATCTGAAACCCTCTTCTGACCTCCATGGCACTGCACCACATGGGTGCACGCACATACATGCAGGCAATACACTCATACACATAAAATAGAAATAATAAATAGCTGGGCGTGGTGGCACACGCCTTTAATCCCAGCACTTGGGAAGCAGAGGCAAGCAGATCTCTGTGAGTTCCAGGACAGCTGGGGCTATAGGGAGATCCTATCTCAAAAAGACAACAACAACAACAACAACAACAACAACAACAAAAAAAAAAGGACAGAGACTCCCAAACTATACAAACTATACTTTTAAGAAAATCTACAGTACCAGGGTGGGTTACCCCTCTATGAGCCGTTGGTCAGAGGGAGATCCTAGAGGTCCTCCAATTCACTAAGGCTATTGCCATTAATGTCAGTTGTACACTAGAAAGGTCAGTAAGGTCATGTTCCTGAAGATATGTTGCATGTTGTGAGCATGGGAGAAGAAGAGATGGAACTGAGACTAAGCCAAAAAACTCCGTGCCACTGGATGGATGACATTCATATTGCTAGAAGGCGCTATGTGGATGCTTGGGGAAGAAAGGATCTCCTATGAGGCTACACAACGATGGACCCCGCATGCTGCACACTATGGACACTCCAAGCAATACCTACAAGTTCAATAACGGCTCGACCAATATACGTACAACTGACAAATTTCTAATTGAATCAGGCCTGCTCCTAGGGGTGGAACACTCATCTGGTGCTGTAGACCAGGCCAACGCCTTGTGTTGAAAAAGCCTACAGGCCCTAGTGGAGAAGCCATCACAAGTATATTGTTTAATAAATATAATACACCTACTGGGATATCTTCTAGGCATTTGTGTTTACATTCATGTTTATTTAAATGTGTCTACTTCCTTCCATTTGTCTTTATAGTAGAAAAGCCGTGAGCGAATGCTAGTGGTGACTATGGACGTGGCGTGGGAGCGATCTGATATGGCGGGCTCTGAGCAGAGCTGCCACTCTGTGAGGCCAGGCACTGGGTGCTCATTCCTTCAAGTTACTCCCACCCCACGATAATAATAAATGCACATAAAGATATGTTATATGGTTTGCCTGATAGCACAAAAGACCCAGAGAGAAATCTGGCAACAACAGGGAACTCCCAACCTTTGCCTATGAAGCCACAGGAAGGAAGGCCTAGCCACCACCTCACACACTTCCTGTGTCTACAGAGATGCTTAAGATCTCTGCTGAGGGGTCTCAGCCTCACCTCTGCTTCAAGTTACCTCTCCCTTCCTCACCACTGGAAGTCCTCTCCCATCCTAGAGGCCCCATTCCCAGAGGGGGCAGTTCACCCAGGTCCCACCCAGCTCCTTTCAGGAGGCCATACCTACCTGGGCCCCTGTACCTCCCATTAGGCCATGCCCACCCAGGCCCCTGCTCCTTCAGAAGGCTCAGCTTGCCCAGGTCTCCTGCTAGGCACCTAATCCCACAGCCAGGACACATTGCCACGTGGCATCCAGCTGCAGCAGGACTCAGGCCTACCTCTAGCCTCACTCCCCCCAGTCACATGCTACAAGCCCAGCTGGGCCCAGCTGGTTCATCTATTCATTCCTCTTCCTGCCCTACAACATGCCCCTGGAGCCCCAGCCCCATAAGCTCACCCCACACCTCCACTGCCTGACATGGTTATAAAGAGTTGCCACAAACTGAGAAGGTAACCTAGATGCTCAACACCCCATGGCTACTCCATCATGAGGTAGGGAGAGGAGCACCAAATGCCTACTCCACCCTCACTGACGGCCAAAATGCAAGACTATCGCCTGGAGCCTAGGAAGGGACTGATGCACTGAGACCCGCTGGGTGAGCACAGCTGCCCTGCAGCACCAAGCAGAGGAAGCAGGGGTGCAGGGGAATCTGCAAAGGTGTGTGTTCAAAGCCCCCAGGACATCACAGCTCCAGCCTGCTAAGGCCACGTCCCCAAATGCTGAGACACAAGGGTTACACTAAGGAGTCGCAGGTAGACGGTAGCGTTCTACTGGCCCAATGTTTTAGCTACCAGTTTTGACCTGTCACCTGAGTGACAGGAAGCCATGGGAGCCTACCTTTCGGATCTGGTTGGTGGTCAGCATGATGACGTCGGTGCCCTCATGGAAGCACTGGGAGGCCGCGAGGTAGCCGACACGCTGTGGAGCCAACAGCCGAAGTGTCAGAGCCAGAGCTGCCTGTGGCCCAGGGTGACTCCAGCCCTGCTGGGGGCCACCAACCACCCAGAACAGACAGGAGTCTAGGAACCTCCAGAGAAGGAGCCCCCACCCAGGAGAGGGCAGGGTGTGGGAATATGGGGCTTCCCTAGGAGCCCTGCCCCCAGCAGCCACATGCCCAGGCCTGTCCCTCTCAGGACACACAGTAGTTCTACTCTTACACTCTCAGCTGGGCAGACCTCACCAGTTCGTATGAGCATACCTCTCAGATCTCAGTGAGAGGGCTGGCTGGCTGGGAGGGGGTGTCCAGCATGGGACACTGAACCCCATTAACATGCACAACTAAGACAGTTTAACAAGCCGAGAGAGGTGGTACATACCTTTAATCCCAGCACTTGGGAGGCAGAGGCAGGCAGATCTCTGTGAGATCAAGGCCAGCCTGGTCAACATAGAGAATTCCAGGCCAGTAGGGGCTACAGGGAGACCCTATCTCAAAAAACAAATGGGAAGCCTGGCATGGTGGTGCACGCCTTTAATCCCAGCACTCAGGAGGCAAAGGAAGGCGGATCTCTGGGAGTTCAAGGCCAGCCTGGTCTACATAGTTCCAGACCAGCGGAGGCTACAAGGGAGACCCTGTCTCAAAAATACCAAAAAAAAGAAAATTAAAAATAAAAAAAATAAAAAATAAAACCAAAAAAACAAACAAGAAAACAGGATAGGTTAATAGAAATAGAAAATATCTAAAGAGACCAGTGTGCCCAACTGTGTCTACACAAGGATGGCTAAGAAATAGCCTGCCATAGCCAGGAGAGCAGAGCTCTGCGGACAGGAGTGATCTGTATATGAATCAAAAGCTACCACTGCCAAGCACAGTTCTGCAGCTGCCATGAGGATACAGAGCAAGAGGATCAGCCTGGAACATGAGACACCATCTCAAACACTAACAACAAAACCCACAATCAGCCCTAAAAACCCAACATCATGACAACTTCAAAGAAAATATCCCATCCTCATTATTAAAGAAACAGGCAAAAGCCACAAGGTGCCTGCCTGCTTTTCAGACAGGGTTCCTCTCTGTAGTCAAAGGGCCCTGGGTTTCTCCATCCTCCTGACTCAGCCTCCCCAGTTCCAGGATGACAGTCACACATCCTGGTACTGGCTTGGGCTGGTGTCTGAGTATAAAACAGGAATAACAGGCTTCATTACTTGATGTCACCTTGTTTCTTTTATTTACTTTTAATTTTTTTGTCTTTTTGAGACAGGGTTTCCCTGCAGCCCCAGCTGGCCTGGAACTATATAAACCAGGCTGGCCTTGAACTCACAGAGATCCATTAGGCTGGACTTGGTAGCACATACCTTTAATCCCAGCACTCAGAGGCAGAGGCAGGCAGATCTCTGTCAGGCTGCAGGGAGATCAAAAAGACCAAAAAATAAAATTTTTTTAATTTAAATTTTACTTTATGTGTGTGAATGTCTTGCCGGCATGTTTTTGAGTGTACCACATGCATGCAATGCCCACAGAGGCCAGAAAAGGGTGTCAGATCCCCTGAAACTGGAGTTACAGACTGTTGTTAGCTGCCATGTGGGTGCTGGGAACCAAACCAGGGTCCTCTGCAAGAGCAGTGAGTGCTACTAACTGCTGAACCAGCTCTCCAGCCTGTATTTGATTTGGTGTTTCCTTTAGAAATGGGGTCTCACTGTACAGCTGAAGCTGGAGTGAAACTCACAGCAAACCTCCTGTCTCGGACTCCCAAGTGTTGGAATTGCAGAAGTGAGCCACCATACCCAGCATTTTAACTTTCATTTTTGTGGTTTTTGTAAAACAAGTTTCCTTACAATAACACTGTACTATAGAGAGGGTTGCTGTGTCTGCAGTGTGGGGTAACACCAGGGCCATGATCCTGTGTGCCAGGCACATGCTCCAGCACAGAGCCACCTCTGCTGCACATTATGAAGACAGGTATTTCATCTGACACCCCAGGTACCAGTTGAGAAGAGCATCGAGGGTAGCCGTTCAAAGTAGCCGACATTGTATCTGCACCATCTCCCTGGCAGAATTGGTAACATTGTCCGTTGCTACTGGCAGGTATGCCACACACCACCCCTGTACAGCATGGTCATGTGCCACAGGACAGAGCCTCAGGGATGCCCCATACTGGTAGACCCCTTTTCCCCAGGGACCTCACGCTACCACACCTGCTTGCCTTGCATACCACACTCACCTTGAATGTGAATTTGGAGGCACTCATGACTTCAATGATGTTGAAGGCAGCCCAGCTGATGTCATACCCCAGCATTTGTAACTGTCAAGGGAAGCATGATGATCAGTGTACTCCAGACAGTGAGCAAATGGTTCATTCAGGACAAACACAACATATACACCACACAGAGAACAAACTCCATTCAGTCTCAATATGCAAACTGTACACAAGCCTGGACCTTTTACCTCCTTTCCCAACAAATGGCTCTGACAGAGCTGGAAGCTATCACAGTAAATTGTCTAGAATCCCCCAGGGAGGGGCTGGGGACATGGCTCATGGGTAGAGTGACCACCTAGAATGCCCCAGTGAGGGGCTGGGGTGTGGTTCAGGGATAGGGTACATGCCTAGCATGTATGAGGCCCTGGACTCCCTCCTCAGCTCTTCAAAAAATTAACAACAAAAGATGATGGCCTATTTAAAGGCTGCAGGGATCAGGTTCACCCAACACTAAAAGTTGATAAACATTCACAACTGAGAAAGTGGTATTTACTATCTGAAGTCCCCACACCAAGACATATGGTCAGGCTTCTCTGTGATCTTAGCACTTGGAAGGCTGGGGCAGGAGGACTGCAGGTTCAAGCCAGCTTTGGTAACACAGGGCCTGTCTCCAGATGTGAACAAAGGGCTGGAGATGTGAGATGGAGGACACCACTATTTGATAGAGGACTGTGTCAAATGCACAATCCCAAACAGAGGTTTTTGTTTTGTTTTGGGTTTTGTTTTGTTTTGTTTTGTTTTCAGTCTTTTTGAGACAGGGTCTCCCTGTAGCCCCAGCTATCCTGGAACTTACTATATAGACCAGGCTGGCCTTGAACTCACAGAGATCTGCCTGCCTCTGCTGTGCGCCACCACGCCCGGCCCCAAGCACAGTTTAAAAAAAAAAAACAAAAAACAAAAATTCTCCCAGCAATGACTGCAACCTGGCTCTATGATAGCTCTATGTCACAGGCTGGCACTGTGATTGCAGGATGAACCTTCACCTCCCCATCACTGAGAAGCTGGGGTGGGAAGAAGATGTCAGCTCACAAAGCCACCTAACTGCAGCCAAGAGGGGGACCCAGATAGGCTCAGAGCCTGAGCTGCCCTGTGTGGCTCCCAACATACCCTGAAAGGTCAGCTGGCTGGAGTCACCTCTCTAGGCCAGCCATGCCCCAGGCCCCACCCACACCAGCCACAGGAGCATCAGTGAGCATTGGACAAATAGTCAAACAGGCGGGGAGACACTCACATAGGTCAGCTTACACACAGCGTTGGCCTTCACAGCGATGTTGTCTTGTTTTAGCTCCTGCTTGATCTCATCAATGCACTGAGAGATGTACTTTGCCTATGGAAAAACGCCAGAACATGTGGGAAGGAGCTGACTCTTTTCAGGGTTGACACACAAGGCAGGTGCTTTAGCCCCAGTCTGCAAGAACCTGTCTCAAAACCCAAAACCCAAAACCCAAGCCATACATGATGTTGCAGTGTTCCAGGCCAACTGGGGCTAAGGGTAGATGGTCTCAAAAAAAAAAAAAAAAAAAAGTTTAAGGACCCTTTTCTCAAAGTCAGACACAAGGCTATACTACTAATCTCCACTGATAGGACACCAGGAGGTGGGAAGTGGATCTGTGGTTGCTGGGAGGGGATCAGTGACTGCTCTTGGGGATAGGGCTTTAGGAAGGAAGCTGGAATGTTCTGGATGTGGACACATGACACTCCATTGTAAAGATCTGGTTGGGCAGGGTACACTGGGCCCATCCTGCTGGCTGCTCTGCACAGTTTTGCAGGCACTGTGGGCCTTCCGTGCCATGGCCTCCCCAGTGCAGTGTCAGTGAGTCTAGTGCCATTTTTGTCCCCCTAGAGAACAAAGCCCAGAGATGGTGACAGGGCTTCAGCCACCTCCTACCCCAGCACAGGAACAAAGAGAAACAGAGCTCCAGGTGAACATGAACTAGGGGAGGGGCGGACAGATGAGAGGGACACTCGGATGTGATCATGGCAGGGCATGAAGTGACTCCCTCAGCCATATGTGGGGGCATCACAGAAGCCCGTGTGCCAGGAGCCCCTGCTCTGTTGTTACCTGACAGTGAGACCAGGAGCCACACATGTTGCCCTCCACAGGAGGGTTCACTGTTCCTCAAATACACCATCCAACTCCCTCCCTACCAGAGCCTCCCACCAAACTACTCCCAACTGCCACCAGTAGCTGCACTTTGGCTGTGGGGCTCCTGCTTGTTCAATCATAGAGCCCTGTGTCCCACCAGGCTGCCCCACACCCCAACACAGTCTAAGCCCTTGTTCTCCAGCTTGGCTCACAGGAAAGAGCCACACCTGCTCATCACTGGCAACCACAGAACTTTTTTCTTTTTGTCTTGTGTGTGTGTGTGTGTGTGTGTGTGTGTGTGTGTGTATCTTTTAAATTTTTATTTATTATTTGTATTTTATGTGTATTCTTGTATTGCCTGCATGTAGGTAAGTGCACCCGTGCCATGCAATGTCCTGCGGAGGTCAGAAGAGGCTGTTGGATCCCCTGGGACTGGAGTTATAGTCAATTGTTAGCTGCCATGTGGGTGCTGGGATTCAAACCCAGGTCTTCTGCAAGAACAACCAGTGTTCTTAACTGCTGAGCCAACTCTCCAGCCCCGTTTGGTTTTTTTTTAATTTTTAATTTTATGTGTATGAGTGTACTGCCTACATGTGTGTTAAGTGCGCCCATGTAGTACAATGACCATGGAGGTCAGAAGAGGGCATCGGATCCTCTGGAACTGGAGATAGGACGGTTGTTAATCACCACGTGGGTGCGGGGAATTGAACCCAGGTCCTCTGCAAGAGCAGCCAGTGCTCTTAATTGCTGAGTCATCTTTCTAGCCCCTTGTGCTTGTTTTTTAAGACCGGCTCTCAAGTAGCTAAGGCCAGTTATCAAACTCCCTATGCAGCTAAAGCTGGCCTTGACGTACTGGTCTTCCTGCCTTTGCTCTATCACAACTGGAAATCCAGTGTTTTCCTACCTGGACTTAGTGCAGTGGAAACCTTTCACTAGATTCTCCTGACCTGCCCCAGATCATTAACACAAGCTGCCCCAAGGCAGGGATGACCAGCCCTGTCAGTTAAGTGAAAGGGAAAGAGAAGGTGGGTCAGGTCCACAGTGGAGGGAAGTAGACCCCCAGCTCTGGTAGGAGGGCCTCAGAGGGCAGAGGAGTTCAGCCTGGCCAGCAGTGAGCAGAGCTACCAGCCCTGCAGCCTTGCTGTCAGGAGGCCTAACAAGGCCACCTTCTAGTTGGGCTACTGCAGCCCAACACAACCTAAAGTGACTCACTTAGCCAAGTCTGGTGGAAGGCAGAGACAGATGGATCTCTGTGAGATGGAGGCCAGCCTGGTCTACATAGCAAGTTCTAGGCCAGGCCAGCTGGAGCTACAGGGAGACCCTGTCTCAAAAAAAGATACCCCCCCACACACAAAAAAAAGCCAAAATTAAAAACCAGATACTCTGCTTCAAACAAGAAGGTGAGGACCACCCAGGCTGTCCTCCTGACCACACACATTCCTGCACTCATAGGCATGTGCATATATACACACAAAGGGGGTGGAGAGAGTGCTTGCAAGCAGCAAGCACAAGCTGATGAAAACTCACTGGGCAGGTCTGTATCACCAGAACAGAATAAAGCCAGGGCACACCTTTAAGCCCAGCACTTAGGAGGCAGAGACAGGAGATCTCTGTGAGATCAAGACCAGGCAGGGCAACATAGGAGTGTACAGCTGGGCTTACCAGTAAAACTGGACCCAGGGGAACAAAGACCAGAAGACAGAACATGTTTTCAAAACAATGACTGAAACACCCCAATTTGGCAAAAGAGTAAAAGTTCACAACTGAAGCAGCTCACCAACCCTCAAACAAACATGCACAAAGAAGCAGGGTGTGATGCGACTGGCCTCCATGTAGCTCCTGGAAGGCTGAGGCAGGAGCATCACCCAAAGTTTGAAGCCAGCCTGGACTAGAGTGAGACCCCCATGTCAAAAAACTAAAACAGGGCCAATGAGATGGCTCAGTGAGTAAAGACACTTGCTGCCAAATCTGACGACCTGAGTTCAATTCCCAAAACCCACATGGTAGAGAGAACCAACTCCTGCAAGTTGTCCCCGATCTCCTCACTTATTCCATGGCAAACATGCTCCCTCCAACATGGAAATAAATGTAATTGAATTAAAAAAAAAAAAAAAAAAAAAAAAAAACTACAGAGGAAATGCTAGCCCAGATCCAAACTGCTGAAAAACTGAAAACCAGAGCAAGGTGCAAGGGGCCTGTAGGGATACATGGCAGCTGACTCAACAATGGCATTAACACATACTGTTCCAGGAGCTGGGGTGCGGGAACCTGCTGTGCTTACCAAGTAAGCAGAAGGGCTGGGTCCTATCCTCATCACACACAGCAATTCACACCCAATCAAAATGACCAAATACAATTAAAATGAGTTAAATGAGGGCTGTTCTAAGCCAGTGGCCATGTTCATTTTGTTCCTTGAACACATCACTGTTAAAAGAAGAGCAGAAACTTCACCCTCTGTCAGCCCGGAGTGGTGGCGCACGCCTTTAGTCCCACCACTAGGGAGGCAGAGGCAGGCGGATCTCTGTGAGTTCAAGGCCAACCTGGTCTACACAGTGAGTTCCAGGACAGCTGAAACTACAGGGAGACCCTGTCTCAAAAAGACCAAAAAAAAAAGGCAAAATGTCACCTGGTGAGGAGACAAGAAGGGACCAACTTTGGCAAGTTGGTGACCAGTCAGAGCTATACAAGACTTTGTCTCAAAAGAACAGAATAAAGCCAGGGCACATGTTTAAGCCCAACACTTAGGAGGCAGAGACATGCAGATCAAGACCAGGCAGGACAACATAGAGAGTTCCAGGCCAGCTGGGGCTACAGAGCCCCAAAAAACAAAAACAACAACAAAACCCAAACAAAAAACTTCAAAGATAGCCAGGGTGTGGCAAAGTGGAATTCACCTGCCACCTAATATGTGGGGCTCTGGGTTGCATCTCCTGTCATACAGGAAAAGAAAGAAATCGGCTGAACCCCTCAGTCAGATCCTCTGAATTCACACCTCTGTGTGTCAGCAGTGAGGTGCTGACGTGGGTCTGAGTTCCTGTGACTGTGTGAAACTTAATTTGGAACACAGGACACACTGCCTCTCTAACATGGGCTGAAAGAAACAGCTGCTCAGCTTCCCAAGTTGGCTGGAAATGTGGATTCTCAGAGCTGATGACCTGAGGTGGCTCAGTGGGGAAAGGCACCTGGCTGCCAAGCCTGAAGAGGGGAGGTTGATCCCAGGATCCACATGGTAGAAGGAGAGAAACGACTCCCAGAAGTTGTCCCCTGACCTATACATGCATGCCATGGCACCCGTATGCACACACATACACACTCAAAATAAACAAAATGTACAAGAAATAAGGTGTGGAGGGTTCTGGAAAGACGGCTGGGCAGTTAGAGTGCTTGGTGCAATCTGAGTGGTGTTCAGATCCCAGCACCTGCATTCTGCAGATGAACAGGCCAACAAAGCTTGCTGGCTTCCAGCCTAGTTGAGAAGATGCCAGCTGAAGTTCAGGGAGAGACCCTGCCTCAGAGAAACAGGCAAGAAAGCAAAAGAGGAGAGAGCCAGAAGCTTCCTCCCACGTGTGAAATAAATGAATAAATCTTAAAAAATTAAAACAAAACAGAAAGGAGCTGGAGAGATGGCTCAGTGGTTAAAAGCACTGGCTGCTCTTGCAAAAGACCCAGGGTTCAATTCCCAGCACCCACATTGTAACTAACAACCGTTTGCCTCTTCTGACCTCCACAGGCACTGCATGACACGGGTGCATTTACACACATGCAGGCAAAATTCTCATACACATAAACATCCAGAAACACCACCCTTGCCACCCACATGCCTGCTTCTTCACAGTCCCCTTCTCATTGACAGCAGGCCTGCCCATTAGCCTTGGGCTCTGTGAGTCTGAGGTGTCCCTGCAGGTGAGAGCCTGACAGGAAGGCCCAGAACGCTAGCTCTAAGGTGGACATAAAAGGGAGCCAAGGCCAGGTATGGCGGCACACAGCTGTGACCCCAGTATTTGGGAGGTTAGAGGTTAGCCTTGTCTACATAGTGAGTTCCAGGTCAGCCAGGACTACAGGGAGACTTTGTCTCAAAATAAGTAAATAAAATGTTTCTTTGAGAAGGGACTCCCACAAGTTGTCTTCTGAGCTCTACATGGACACGGTGGCCTGTGTTTACACAACACACTAAAATACACACACACACACACACACACACACACACACACACACACTCATATTTCCCCCCTTCTAGCTGTGAGGTAGTGGTGCACACTTGTCAACCCACTACTTGGGGAGGCAGAGGCAGGAGCATCACTACAACTTCAAAGCTAGCCTGGGCTACAGAGGGAGACCTTTACTCAAAAAGGGAAAATAAGGGGCTAGAGACCTGGCTCAGCAGTTAAGAACACCAATTGCTCTAGCAGAGGACCCAGATTCAGTTCCTAGCACCATAAAGCTCCAGTTCTAGGGGATTCAACACCCTCTCTGGCCTCTGTGGGCTTTGCATACACATGGTTCACTTGCATACATGGAGGCAAAACACCTAAAAATAAAAATAAAGATAGGACTCTGGCATGGTGGCGCACACCTTTAATCCCAGCACGCACTTGGGAAGGCAGAGGCAAGCGGATCTCTGTGAGTTCAAGGCCAGGCTGATCTACAGGCTGAGTTCCAGGACAGCTGGGGCTACAGGGAGACCCCATCTCAAAAAAAACTTGAAAAAAAAAAAATCAACAAGACAAGACAGACAACACTCCTTCCAGGCAGGTTTTGCAGTGCTGGAGATAGAATACAGAGCTCTGCTCATGCCAGGGACCTGCTCATCACTGAAGTTATACCCCAGCCCTGAACATTTTGAGACAGGTAGCCCAAACTGGCCTTAAACTTAGAAAATCCTGCCTGGGCTTCCCCAGTGGTGGGATGACAAGTGTGTACCACTGTGCCTGGTCCCAGGTGGCTTTGTGAGAGGTGGGGCTGCTTTAACTAGCTGATAAGGTAGCTGTGGAACTTGGGAGGAGCCAGGCAGCTGTCTACATCCCAAACTGCACCTCTGGCCCAAGCGCTGGAACCTGGGTCCCTGTGTGAGTCTACCTGAAGCCCCAGCACAACCTGGCAAGGATGTCACAGAAAATGGAGGAACACACTGGCAGGAGGGGCTGTACTACAGGGTCAGCAGTAGAGAAAGCAGGCCAGAAGGGGCAGGTGCCACTCGTAGTCCGGGAGGCGAGGCACATGGCTGTGGCAGATGAAGGGACACAGGTCATGGAGACATACAGTGGGCATTTAAGCCAGGAGCTGGTCCATAAGAACAGATCCCCATAGACACAGCTGGACACAGCAAAGATTCACCTTGCAGAGCTGAAGCTACATGGGCTTCCTGGGCAGTAGTCCAGGCATGGAGGGTTGGTTTCTCCTGCAGCTATAAGGAGCACCAGCATCCACCAGGCCTAGCATCTAAAGGTCCTGCACCCCTTGGCTTGCAGCCCTCTCCTCCCTCTTTAGAGCTGGGAGCATCACTTCCTCTCACCCCAGTATTGTTGCCTCTTACTCTCCTATAACCCTCTGAAGATCCCATGGTAATCCAGATGGTCCAAGATGACCACCGCCCCAGCTCAGGGTCCTCAGTATAAGCCCATATACTAAGTCCTTTCTGCCACTGGAGAGGACAGGTCTACAGGTTTCAAGGACCCTATATGGGCATCTCTGGGGTACAGGGTTCAGCTGACCATGGTAAGGCTACTCTCTGGCATCAAGACTCAGCCAAGAGGCGGCAGCGTCCACAGTAAGGCAGAGAAGTCAGGAGATGCAGAAATGGCCCCTCCTCCAAGACAAGATGCCTGGGACATCAGGACAAGGAAGTCCAAGGGCAAGAGGCCCGGTCCCAAGGGGCAGCACAGGAGGCCAAGCCAGGCAAATGCAGGGAGTTTATTAGGGAGCTCAAGCCTCCGCCTAAGTAAACTGAGCAAAGAGAAGGGGACCTCAAGGCTTCAACACCTCTCCTCCCAGCTACTTGGAAGGCTGAACCAGGAGGATCTGAGTTCAATGTCAGCCAGGGCAACTTCCTATAACCTATCAAAATGAAAAGATTCGGGGCATGGCACAGGGGCAGAGCCCTGCCTAGAATCCCCCAGTGAGGGGCTGGGGGTGTGGCTCTGGGTAGACTCCCTGCTTAGAATGAATGAGGCTGTAGAGTCCATCCCAGTATCACACACAAAAGGAAAAAGATGACCGGAGGCAACACAGCAAGAGCCAGTGTAAAAGAAAAATAAAGGAAACCCCAGTGTGTCACACATTTCTGCTGGGCAGAGATGAGCAGAGAGACAAGACAAAGCAAAGGGTGTTGGCAGCCTCAGGCACAGGTAACCTCAGGCCCAAAGCTACCCTACTCCAGAGCCTCAGGAGCAGCTGCGCACCCCCAGCCCTTGTGACAGGCTCCCAGGCTGCTGAAGAGCCTGGCCAATATTTGGTCAAGCAAAAGCCGAACCCAGGGCTCACTCAGAGCAGCACCTGACCCCATGATGGAGCTGCACATGCCTAAATGTTATTGGGGACAATCCTTGCCAGCAGCTAGACAGATGTATGCTATGGTCATAGCCAAGTCCAGCAAGGTCAAGTGCCCCACACTACACAAGGCTGCCCCAGGTGCCTGCATGCCTGGCTACTGGAGAATGGAAGTGGCCTCTGACACAAAGCACAGAGAGGTAGAGCCAACTCGCCTTCCTCCTGAGCAAGGCTGGAGGTCTGAAAGTCTAGTTCTAGAAACTTCTAGGAGCAGGAAATGGAGCAGTATGAACACAGAGGACCAGCATCCTCTGTGGATCTCTTAAATACATTTTTGCAGATATCACAACAAGGAAGATATCACACTTGACCACTGGAGCTGCCCATCAAAGGGGACAGCTGAAACGGCACAACAGGTACACCAAGGAGGTTCAGAAACAACCAGGCAGGGCTGCAGGACCACACAGAAAGGCTCAGAACCCAGAGGAAGAGCAACTCGCAAAAGTGCCAACAAAACCTACTAGAGGGCTGGAGAGCTGGCTCAACAGATAAAAGCGCTGGTTAGGCTGGGCATGTGCTACTCACCTTTAATCCTAGCACTCAAGAGGCAGAAGCAGGTAGATCTCTGTGAGTCACTGAGCAGCCCCGTGTAAACTGAGGACTTCTAGGGCTTTCTGTGCCACCCTGGCTTGGCACTACTAAAAACACTTCATATGTTACACATGTGCATACAGATGCCACAATGAAACCCATTACTGTGTATAATTAACACACACTAATAAAATAAAGGCGCTTCCACCACTACCCCACTGGACACCTGTGGAGCAGGCGCATTCCATCCGCACCAATTCCCAAAGACGATAAGAAGCTTAAGGCTGTGGTAGTGGCAGCACAAGCCTTTAAATCCCAAACTCCAAGGCCCTGAACTTTGGAGTCAGAAGCAGGAGGATCTCTGAGATCCAGGCCAGCCTGGTCTGGCTAGTGAGTTCCAGGCCAGCTGGGGCTACAGGGAGACTCTGTCTCAAAAAATAATAACAAAAATGGTAATAGGCTTGGAATTGGGGGGGGGGGGGGAAGTGAAAAACAAAAAACAAGCACTGACTGGCCCCTTAAAACCAGGCACCTGGCTGGGCAGGATGCCGAACCCTCATCATCCCAGTACTGGGAAGGCTGAGGCAGCAGGATGGTGAGTTGCAGGCCAGCCTGGGTCATGTACTAAGCTGGACTATGTCTCAGTACCCTAACTAAAGCATGACTTGTCTTCCAAGTCCCAGAACACACTGCCCGGGATCACCCACTAAATGGGGTGGCAAATGAGGAACCCAGAGGTCCTCCACAGCAAAGACCACAAGGGCACAAATGACATTTCATAGAGGGCCATGCTCAAGTGTGCAAATCTCAGGCCAATCAATGACCCTTTCAACTGAAGAGGAAACTGAAGAGGGTATCACAAGAGGTGGCCAGCCACTGTCACTATAAAGGGGGCCAGGGAGGGCAGAGAACCCAAAGTAGGTCAACTGTGTAACATGGAAGGGGCTTAGAGGCACAAGCATGCTCATAACTTCAGAGTGGGGCAGGGGCCCCAGTGTGTCCCACTTCCAGACTGCTGTGTGTTACATCTGGCACTGGGGCCTCCTTCAGGATGGCTGTCCTGCCTGGAAGGAGGCCTCTTGCTAGACGTTTCCCTCGTCTAGGTCCGCTATCTCCCTTCCTCCTTAATGTAGGTCACAGGCTGGGGGAGGGGAAGTAACTGGCGCCCACGATCACAATTTGACTTCTGGAAAAATCGCTTCCACACCCTGACTTTTGGCTTCCGGCTTTGAAGTGTGGCTTCCACATTCCAGGACACCCCTGGCTCGCTTACTTCCGGGGACTTGGGCTGCACCCACTGGCAGCCCCGGGATCTGGAGACCTGGAGAGGTTCTCAGGCAGGCCCCACACAGCAACGTGAACATATATTTTCCTGACTGATAAGAGGGTACCTTCAAGGGGGACCCATAAATCAAAGTCCTGGCTTCCCTGGGAGAGGGGGGAAATCCCCTAATTTTTCAATATGTGATACATAGACACTTAGGTGCCAGAACCTCTGCCTGCACCTGTCTGCTTCCTCCTTTGAAGAGGAGGTCCCAAACTCCTGCAAGCAGGTAAACTGAGACACCCCAGTGGCAGGACCCAGGACACCTGAACTTTTGAAACGGTGACTTGTTCCAAGTGGACAATGACTGCTTGGAAATAAACTGAGGCCCAAAGAGTGACCACCAATTGCAAGACCCAAAACACCTGGTCCTTTTTGGACAAAGCTTGTTCCCGGCGGACAACTGCCGGGGGAGGGTAAACTGACGCTCTGGAAGTGGCTCTGCAGCAGCTGCTCGGGGGTAAACTGAGGCCGGGGGCGAGTAGGCCATGCAGGCCACGCAGAGCCAGAGCTCCCCAGCAGGCCGTACGGCAATGGCGGTGGGGCCGAGGAGGCGACCCGGTGGCGCCAGGGTGCGGCGCCGGCTCACCTCGTCCTCCTTGTGGTTGCGGATGCCGCGGACCAGATCCTGCAGGTTCTTGTCGAACATGCGGTCGATGCTGCCCTTGACCATCTTGAGGGCCATCGCGGCGGCCCGCGGTCTGCGACCTCTGAGGAAAACGCCGCCGCGACCCTGGGAGGCTCGAGGACCCGGCGACCGCGCCTCAGGCCCGCGATGCGCTGCACTTCCGGCCGGCTCGGAGGGGACGACGTGGAGGCCAGAGCGACGCCTGCGGCCGGGGACGAGACTGAAGAGAGCGGCGACCAGCGACCCCGCTCCCACGAACCCCACACAGGCCCGCAAAGGGCCGCTCGCAAATGGCGGCCAAGATGGCGGCGGGTCAGCTGATGGAGAGCCGCCGCGTCCCGGAAGCCGGGCTCCCCAATGCCCGGCTCCCCCGCTGCAGTTTCCTTGACAACCACACGCCACCCAGTAGGAAAGCAAACACCGCCCTTTGCGGCCTGCGAGTCCTGCCCCTTCCCGTGTAGCACTCTGCACTCTCATTGGTGAGCAGCTCAGGAACACCGCCCTCGTTCTAGCCACGCCCCGAGGGAACCAGGAGCCTGCTCTCAGCCCTCCGCGCAGTGACAGCTGTGGGCGAGGTCTGGTGTGGGAGGGGCCGGAGGTGAGGTGGGGGGCTCCCACGTGGAGCTTATTCTGCAAGTTCCTGGTGAAGAGTAACAGCTCCTCTTCTGATCAGAGACCCGAGGAGCAACTTAGCCTTATCAGCAGCTGAGAAGCTGAGAAAGAAGGTTCAGGGGTTGGAGGCTAGTCTGTGCTATATGAAACCGTGTCCCCATACACCATAAAAAGGGTTAAAAACGGCTGTAGGGTAGTTTAGCCCAGGGTTCCCCAGCACTGCATGAACCAGGCGTGGTAGTGCTGTCATCCTCTGGAAGTGAAGACAGAAGGATCAGAAGATTAACCAGCCTCGAACATTTTTTGGTGGTTACTGAAAAGCATAAACCTGGACCCCGCCATGGTGGTGCACGACTTTAATCCCAGAATATCAATCCCAGGAGGCAGAGGCAGGAGGATCTCTTTGAAATCGAGGCCGGCCTGATTACATAGTGAGTTCCATGCCAGCTTGACTACAGGGAGACCCTGTCTTTAAAAGAATTAATTAAAATAAAATAAATAAATACCTGGCCTGGTGGCACACACTTGTCATCTCAGCACTCATGAGGTGGAGGCAAGAAAATAGGGAATTCAAGATCACCCTCAACTACATAGGAAGATTTAGGTCAGCCTGGGATACATGAGACCCTGTCTCAAAAAAGGGACTGGAGAGGTGGCTCAGCAGTTAAAAGCAGTAGCTGCTCTTGCAGAAGACCCAGGTTCAGTTCCCAGCACCCAAATAGCAGCTAAGGAACATCCTTAACTCCAGTTCCAGGGGATCTGACACCCTCTTCTGGCCTCCATGGGTATTGCATGCATGGGTGCAGTTACATGTATGTTATATATACAATAACAAATAAAAATAAGCAGGTGTGTTAGCACACACCTTTAATTCCAGCACTTGAGAGGCAGAGGCAGGCAGATCTCTGTGAGTTCAAGGCCAGCCTGATCTACATAGTGAGTTCCAGTCCAGCTGGGGCTACAGAGAGACCCTGTCCAAAAACACCAAAAATAAATAAGTAAATAAAAAATGGTAATTTTTTTTATTAAAAAGCAGCCTGGCGCTGGGAGTGTTAGGGCAGGCCTGTAGTCCCAGCACTTGGGATGCAGAGGCAAGCAGATCTCTGTGAGTTCAAGGCCAGCCTGGTCTACATAGTAAGTTCCAGGCCAGCTGGGACTTAGGGAGATCCTGTTTTAAAAAAACCAAAAAAAAAAAAAATAATAAGCAGCCTGGCTTGGTAACAAACACCTTTAATCCAGTTTGGTGGTTTGAATGAGGAATGTCCCCAATAGGTTACAAGTATTTGAACACTTGGTCAGCTGGTGTTGCTGTTTTGGAAGGTTTAGATAGTGTGGTCTTGCTAGAGGAAGCACATCACTTCCTCCACTGGGGTGGGCTTTGAGAGTTCATAGCCTTACCCTATTTCCAGTTTCTCTCCCGGTTCCTATGTTTGAAGATGTGAGCTTTCAGCTTGCCATACCTCCCTATCATGATAGACTCTTAACCCTCTAGAACCATAAGCCCAAATAAACTGTTCCTTCTATATGTAGCCTTAGTCATGATGTTTTATCACAGCAACAGAAGAGTGGCCAATGCACTCAGCACTCGAGAGCCAGAGGCAGGTGGATCTCTGTGAGTTCAAGGGCAGGCTGGTCCACATGGTGAGTTCCAGGCCAGTTTGGGCAGTGAGTTCTTGTCTCAAAATAAAACAAAAGACAACAAAAAGTTACACATAGCTACGTGCGATGACACCACATGTAATCCCAGCATTCTGGAAGCCAAGGCAGAAGAATTCCTATGAATTCAAAACTTGCCTGGAACACAGAGCAAAACCCTTAAAAAAAAATTTTTTTTTAATTGGGCTGGGGTGAGATGACTCAGCAGGTTACTGTGCTGCCCGCCAAGCCTGATGGCTTAAGTTCCATTCCTGGGACCCTCATGGAAGGAGAGAGCTGTCTCCTATAAGTTATCCTCTGAGTCCTACAAGCATACCATGGTACACTTGTGGACACATACACACACACAAACACACATATACACAAATAAATATAATTTTTTTTGTCTTATTGAGACAGGGTCTCCTTGTAGCCCTAGCTGGCCTGGAACTCACTATGTAGATCAGGCTGGCCTCAAACTCACAGAGATTACCTGCCTCTGCCCCCCAAGTGCAAGGATTAAAGGCATGTCCAACCATGCCTGACAATATATATAACTTTTAAAATTTTGATTTACTTATTTTATTTTATATGTATGAGTGTTCTGTCTACTTGTATGTAAGTGCACCATGTGCATGCAATGCCCACAGAAGCCAGAAGAGGGCATTCAATCCCTGGAATTAACATTACAAATGTTTGTTAGCTGCCATGTGGGTCCTGGGGACCAAATCCAGGTCCTCTGCAAGAGTAGCCAGTGCTGGGTGCTAGACAGATGGCTCAGCAGTTAAGAACACTGGCTGTTCTTGCAGAAGACCGGGGTTGGAATCCCAGCACCCACAGTTCCAGGGGATCCAACAGCCTCTTCTGTCCTCTATGGCATTGCATGACACCAGTGTATTTACCTACATGCAGGTAATACACACAGACACATAAAAAATAAATAAAATATTTTCTTTAAAAAGAGCAGCCAGTGCTCTTAATCATTGAGCCACCTCTCCAGGCCCTGGTTTAGTTTTTTATTACATTTATTTCTCTCTGTGTATATGCCTGCCACAGTGTGTGCATGGAAGTCAGAGAACAGCTCACAAAACTATCTCTCTCCTTCCACCATCGGTGGGGGGGGGCTGGAATCAAACTTAGGTCATCAGACTTAACAGCAAGCTTGTTTACCTGTTGAGCCATATTCCTGGCCTTTTTGATGTTTTTTTGAAACAGTTTTACCGTGTAGTCCTGGTAGCCAGGAACTTGCCCTGCATATCAGGCTGGCCTCAAATGAGTAGCAGTCCTACAGCCTCCATCTTGCCAGTTTTCAGATTGTAGATGTGTGCTACCACACTGAGCTCCAAAGGAACAATTAAAACCTAGCGTCCATCAATGAAGGAAGAGATCACCACAATGTAGCCTATTGCAGTATTATTCAACTATTAAAATAGATGAGTCTTCAGGGTTGGGACTGTAGTTCAGGGCAGAGCACTCCCATAGCTCCTTGAATTTGATCCTCAGCACTACATACAACCTAGTGTCGTGGTTCATGCCTGTCAACCAAGCCCATGGGACTTGGGAGCAAGAGAATCAGGAGTTTAAGGTCAACAGAGGAAGGACTGTTGCTCTTCCAAAGGACCCACACTGGGTGGTTTACAACTGTCTACATTTCCAGTTTCAGAGGATCTGATGCCCTTTTCTGGCCTCCACAGGGATGGCACTCACATGATGCATTTACACGCATGCAGGCAAAACACTCATACACATAAAATAAATACATAAATAAAAGTTATAATTTTTTTAAAAAGTGACAAGTGTGGTAACACACACCTTTAATCCCAGCACTCAGGAGGCAGAGGCAAGCGGATCTCTGTGAGTTGAAGTCCAGCCTGGTCTACATAGCGAGTTCCAGGACAGCTGGGGCTACAGGGAGACCCTGTCTCAAAAAGACCAAAAAAAAAAAAAAAGTTAAAAGATAGTACCTTTCAAATCATTTACATTTTAGCATAATAAAATACAATAATAAAATGATGGTGGCACGCACACCTGTCACCCTCACAGAGGCAAGAGAAGCAGGAAGTCAATGCATTTCAACCAAGTCTAGGAAACATAGCAAAATGTCAAAAAAAAATGTTTTCAAAGGGCCAGATGTGGTGGCACAGGCCTTAAATTCCAGCACTCTGGAGGCAGAAGGAGGTGGATCTCTGTGAGATTGAGGCCAGCCTGGTTTACATAGACAGTTGGAGGCTAGTTGGGGCTACAGGAAAACCCTGTGTTAAAATAAAGTAAAACAAAACAAAACAAATAAAGAATCAGAAACACAGGTCAGTTGTTAAGAGTGCTTGCTTAGCATGCATGAGGTCCTGGGTTCACCCCAGCACCACATCAACATGTTATGATGCCCCACTCCTGTCACCTCAGCTCTTGGGAGGTGGACTCATGAGGATCAGGAATTCAAAGCCATCATCAGTTAAATACTGAGTTCAAGGCCAGCATGGGCTATGTGAGACCTTGTCTTGAAACATTAAAGCAAAGAAAGAAACCTCTATGACTGAATGAGTAGTCAGGAGCTTTTGACAGCCCAAATTTCCATCCCTCAGTTTAGGAACAACCTGAAACCTTCAGAGTGGCCAGCAGGGGACAGTGCCAGCCAGGCACAGAAGCAGACAAAAGCTCCTTGGAATGATTTCAGAAGGGAGTCTTGAGCTGTGCTAAACATGGTGAGAGGTTGAGAGGTGTGTTATCAATCCCACTTCAGGCTTGAATCTATTTCCTCATTCACAAATGAACCATCACCATCCATCCATCCATCCATCCACCCATCCATGCACTTACTCATCCATCCACCCATGCATCCACCTATCAGCCCATCCACTCATCCATCTATTTACCCATCCACCCATCCACATCCACCCATGTATCTACCCATCAACCCACCCATCCATCAACCACTCACACATTCATTCATCCATCCACCCATTCACTCATCCATTGTGCTGGATAGCTTCAGTTTTATTTTGGCACACCTGGGTAGGAGGAACTGCAATTGAGAAATTTCCTCCATTGATGGCCATGTCTGTGAGACATTTTCTTGATCGTTGAATGAAGTGTGTGGGGAGTGCCACCC